GTGTGTGTGTGTGTGTGTGTGTGTGAGAATAGAGTCTGAGTTTTTGCGTAACGACAATTTTTGAGGGCGGCCACTCGAGGTGTGGTTTTGATTTTTTTTTTTCAAAAAACACACTCAACGTAAAATGTCAATTTTTTAATGGCTCTAAAAGAGAATCAATAGCTCAATGTCATCTTCTTCAAGTCGATATCACAACACATGTGAATTCAATTGGTTACATCCATCTTTAAAAATCTTCCATTCCTTCATCATCACCTTCAACAACATGATCGCCTGAATCATCATTGACCAGTAACTCTTCCGTTGTCATTTCAAATGCCTCACCATTGGTGTCGTCTTGCAATAAATGAAATTGTTGGTCTTGATCATCCTTACTCATCACTTTGAGTGCACTCAAGCTCGTATTTTCTCCTGCAATCCATTTCCAATCAATCACAGATGGTAATCGAAGTAATTCACGAATGAACATGGTGGCATAGGTAGAGGAATCGAGTGAGAAGGAAAGAATGACTGCCTTTTTCATTTTCCTATTACTGCTATTGCTATTACTACTACTACTACTAGCATGACCATCACTGATGCTACCACTTTGTTGACTACTACTATTCTGACCACCACCACCACCTTGTTGACCACTCTTCTTTTTGGTTGATACCAACTTGTCATCATCCGTTTCAACCAATCGTTTACACATCTTTTCATCCTGTTCACTATACTCTCTAAATTCATATTCAATATTTTGAGCTTTTTGAATCATGAAACGATAGGCTCCATAGGTTTTGTATTGAGAAACATGTTTTTTAAAATCTTCTTCACTAATCGATCCATGTTGTTTCATAAATTCATCATACGTGTTCTTATTCACATACTCTGTGGAAGGATATTGAATATCAATACCTGGAATGGTCATGACCACATCATGAATGGAATATTGTTGAGCTTGTTCTTCACTTTCAATTCTCACAATTGGAGATTCAAAAGTCAATTTGGAATCAAAATGGAATGTTGAGGAAGATGAAGATACTCCTGTTGAGGAGGAGGATGAAGATGAGGAAGATACTCCTGTTGAAGGGGAGGAGAAGGATGAAGATTCTCCTAAACAAGATTGTCCTTGCCATTGTCGTTGTCGTCTTGAAATGACCAAATCTCCACACACCACTTTCAATCCATGTTTTTCAATACGTAATGAAACCATATGATTAAATACATAGGATTGATACGAATGAATATACATGGTCAGTAAATTCAATGGTAATGCTTGAATGGCAGTGAGATGATCTCGATCATGAGTTTTCAAATAAGAATTTAACATAATCTTTTCAGTGTGATTACGAGATCGAGGTAATGCATCATAACATTCACGAGAAGTGATTTTACCATCGAGAAAATCTTGAAGTGTTTGATTGGAACGTTTGTCTTTGGAAGATTGAATACTTGAAAGAAAGATGCATCTTGCTAATTCTTTCCATTCACATTTCAATAAATGTTGACCTAACAAGTAAGTGGGATAATCACTGTGATAAATATTTTTCACACTATTGTAAGTAATTCCAAAACGTTGCATTCCAAAATAATTAATGAAACCATATTGATTCAATTGATCAATTCGTTCTTTGAATATTTCTTCAATCGATTTTTGAGGTTGTGTGGAATGATCTTGTTTTGATTGTGGTAATGATTGTGATGGTAATTGTGATGGTAATTGTGGTGATGATTGTAATGGTAATTGAGATTGTTCTGATTGTGGTAATGATTGTAATTGTGGTGGAAGACATGATGGTCTTTCTGGAATTTTCAAATCTCTCAATACCAATGTGAAACGATTTCCAGTCAAATCTCCTAATCGTAATGGATTTTCAACATATTGGAAATTTCCAACTCGAATGACTTTGTGTTTAAATCGATGATTCACTTGAGAGAGTTTTTCAGCACTAATTTGATATCCAGTGACCAATTGAGTTGTAATTCCTCTCTTGTCTTTAGTTCCTGCAATTTGGAAGTTCTTTTGTTTCAATTTTAAAATTCTTCCAATTTCTCCTAAAATTTCTGTCGTTTCACTATTTTCCTTATAGAGAACAAATTGAATGTAATTGGGACGATCTTTTGGCCATGCAAATTGTCTTGGATCAAAATAAGATTCACCACTTGCCAATGATGGAAGTTCATTCTTTTTTGAACCTTTTCTTTTTTGTCTCTTTTTTGATTTGCTATTATTTTGGTTATTCAAAAATAAAGTTTGTAATGTAAAACTACGAAATTGAAATCTCAATCGAATGTGTTGTTCATTGTCTTTGGTAAGAGTATCTGAAACAAGAGCATGTGAAAAGTAAGTGGAAATAAGTTTGTGAATATTCGATCGAATGGTTTTGTCATTTTCCTTAATTAAAAGAGTTGGAACATCACTTTCTTCAATTCTCTTTCGTTGTTTTGCAATTTCTTCTAATTTTTTTTCTGTTTCACTTTGACTAGATAAAAATGATTCAAAGGATGAAAGGACATTTTCAGAGAGAATTCTTTTCAATTCTTCAATTCCTTTCAATTCATTTTCTTTCTTTTCTTGTTCACTGAGTGATAAATCTTTTGAACGCTTGTCTTTGATGTGATCTGGAATGTTGGTGTCTGTCAAATAAACAACATTTCCATTTCGATCAATTTCATGAACAATGAAATCACTAAATTTTTGTTTCATGATACCAGTGAAGGGAGGAAGGGTGAGGTCGAGTTGGTTGGGATGAATTGCAATGTCCACATATTTTGAAACACCAACCGAAGATTCTTCATCAGAGAATGGGGAAAGAGGATTTTTATAATCGAGAGTATCCAAGTGATGATGATGATGGTAAACCTGTGATGATGATGCCACCTGTGGTTCCTCCGAAGAGCTCTTTGGATGATCGAGTTTTACTTTTTTACTATCTTCCTCATCAGAATGTTGTTGGGTCATGCTCTCGTCAGAGTCAATCGCTTCAATTTGTCTTTTCATAATGAAGGAGTACTACGACTACTACAACTCTTTAAAATGAACGAATGGAAATGACAAGAGAGTGTTGAAAGCTATTTTTTTTGGCTTCTCAAGTTTGTTGAATGAACGCGTTCGTTCGTGTACTGTGACTGACGCTGTTGAGTTTTCAAAAAATCCAAAAGGTTCAGAACCTCTCTCAATCCATTAATATTGAATTGTTGTTGGAATTTTTCATTCCAAAGACTTGTTTCAATCACAACAACAAGATTATTCGGAATCGTCATATTAGTTTTTTGTTATTACGATTCGTGTTATTCTTCTCAAGAAAAAGGTCCAAATTCATTTAAATCCACATCTCTATGATGACCGAACAACAACAACAACAACAACCATCAAAACCAACATTTCTTGGCAAGAAATTCAATCCAGTAAAATCATCATCGAAATATCATCAAGAAAGAATTGGTCCATTGTGGAAACGATTTTATAACACAGCAATCGAAACATGGAAGACACCACTCGGAAAGAGAATTTGCATATTCGGAGGAATGTCCATTGCATCTGTGTATTTTGTGTTAGCACCAACGATTCAAAAAGTCGTTCGCAATAGTGAAAAGGAAGAAGAAGAAAATTCTGAATAATAATTTAATGAATAATATAATAGGCATGATTGCCAAACTAGTAGCTTCTCAACCTATCATCTCACAATTTCACAACAGATGGTTTTCTCATGTGCAATTCATTTCAAGCTGATACCAGGCACTCACAAACCCAAACCCATGAATGCCACAGTCATGTCACTACTTTTCCTGACTACGATGAACTCCATCCCAATTTTCAGGTGGCGATACGATATAATGGGCACATCTTTCCATCATGGTTTGTGTTGGCTGATCTGTTGGATCCAATGGAGCACATTTGGTTTTAAATAAAGTTAATGATTTGGTAAATTGTCCTGCAAAATATTCATTCAATGCATCTTCATAGGGTTGAATTAGTTTGATCTTGTGTTCGTAATTGGCTCGAGAATTCTCATCTGAAATAAGCTCATAGACAGTACATCCAACCGATTTACCTTTCACAGAAACTCGATCAATCTTTCTAAAAACGAATGACTTCTTGACTTCAGGTTTGGAAATGACTGCTTCACTCACAAGAATTTGTGTGGCGTATTGTTTGTTGAGGGACTCTAAGCGAGATGCCAAGTTGACATTATCACCAATAGCTGTTGGTGAGTTTGGTGATGCGAATCGATCATTTGCCATTACAACCGTTGAGTTAGGGAAAAGATGCCATTGAACATACATTTTGAATGATTCATCATTAATGTGTACGTGTGTATTATCAAAATATATTGATGTGATCGCACACACTCTCTAGTAATAATAGTTGAACCTACCTGTATATTGAATCCTCCATAGAGATCCAATATTTCCAATCACACAAGAACCAGAATGCAATCCAATTCTACACTTGAATTGAACTCTGCCACTTTCTTGCCATTTCTCTCTGAGAGTTTTCATTCTGACCTGACATTTAAAAGCTGCTGTACAGGCTCGTAGTTGACTATCTTCAAGATAGGAAGGGGCTCCCCAGAATGCCATGACAGCTTTTATCAATTTTTGATTCATTCGTTCGATAATGGTTCAATAAAGGTTCAAATTCATTTGAATACTTTACAAATACTTACCATCTCCAATGTACTTATCCAGAGTACCACCAGTGTTCATAATTTCTTCAGTCATGGCATGAAAGTATTCTCCTAATTGCTTGATAAGAATTACAGGTGGTAATTGCTCACTATATTTGGTGAAATCTTCAACATCTGAAAATAGTAATGTGATATTGTCATATTCTGCACCTCCCAATCTGATATCAATTCCTCTTTCAACCATTTCCACAATTAACTGTTTTGGAACAAATCTCAAGAATGATCGAAGAGTCGTTTTCATTTTGCTAAAAGCTTCAGACAAGACAATAATTTCTCTTATTTTGGATCTCCACACATTTCCTTTCTGAACTTCCAGTTTTGAAATTGCTTTACTTTCATTTGCAAAGAAAAGCAATGGTCTGGAAATAGCAGAAGAAATATAAAAGACAAACAGCACAGTAATGATAGCTGCAATAATACTGACACCAATATTGAGACATGAGAGTAGTACCATATTTCCGTTGAAATCTGTTGGTGCGAAGAGATTGAACGGGTTATGCATTTGTCAATATCACTATTCCAATGCATTTCAATCACTTACCTATCTCTGGAGCAGATATGAAAACAATCCATTGCATGTTGAGATTAAGGGTAGCAGTTACAATATCATACGAAAGAATGTAGAGGTTTGAATTATAGATATATCTAATGACTTGTCTCTTTTTTGCAAGAATTTCAGTGTTTGTTGAAGGAATTTGTGAAAGGATAATATGTTTGAGAAAATCATTGGGTATTTCCTCGGCATTAGGAATTGTGTATCCTGATTCTGCATCTCCTAAAACCATTGCACTGTAGTCCTTATAGGCCACCAATCTCTTTCGCAAATCACCAGTTTCTAAATCTTCACTAATTTCCATAATTGCTACAAATCCATTTGTTGACACATGGAAGGATCTAACAAAAGTTGCCAATTCTCGAATGACCACATTCACACTGGTGACTCCTAAATATAGAGAAGAGTTAATGCTGGAATAAATGTTGTGTTGAAAGCAAACATAGACTTTCTCGTCGATGGTTGATCCTTGGAGTTGAACATTGATGGGTACCAGAGCATGTGAGTGGCGAAGAGATATTTGATAATACTCATCTCCTCGAGGATCCCAATTGTCGTAGGGTAAATTGGTTTCTTTCATTGCAAGTACTCCTTTCTGAGTGAGATTGTACATGGTTGCAATGGTCGTATTCTCATCGGGATGAGTCAGCAAGTACAGCTCTTGGGAGGAGTCATAGTTGCTCTGCAAATTCCATGTTTGAGAATTTGAGGAGGTTCTCGAGTCTTGTGCATCTTCATGATCATCCAGAGAGCTTACATTGGCAGTAGGTGCTGTATTCACGTAATAATATTCTCCATTGGTTGGAGTAAAATCCACCAAGAAGATGATGTCCTTATTGTGTTTTTGGACCAAAGAGAGTGATTTAAACATGTTTGCATAGTTGTGTGGTGTAAAGAAGTAATCATCTGTATCGAACTGCATGTAATAGGTATCAAGAATGAGCTGTTCTTGAATCAGAGTAAGCCTTTTGCACACGTTCAAGAAATCAGAGACATAATTGTCGGCTCGAGTCAAAGCCTCATTCACCACACCTTCTTCGACGTTGAGTGATGAATAAACAGAAAAGGAAATGGAAAGGATTAGTAAAATCAGTACAGGTGTTAAGGTAAGCAAGATCATGGCAGTAAGAAGAGAGGTTCGGAAGCTGAAAGATATTCTCGGATGAAAGGCACTAGATGAAACAGTGGAAGAAGATGATTCGTACTGATCATGAGGTTGATTGACAGAGCCTTTGAGAGTAATGCTTGAAAATACTTGGATGGGTTCTCGACCTGGTGATTCAGGCACCGGGGGATGCTGAATGGATATCGATTCCAATGGAATTTGACGAGCACTGTCTGAGGTTGAATAGAAGGATTCGGTGGAGGTGGAATACCTCCTATTTGCACCTATTGCAACCGAAGGATGAACCCTATTGGTTTGGTGGGACATGATGTTGTTGTATGGAATTTGAGGTGGTGTCAATGGGTTCAGGCAGTTTGATTCGGCGTTTTTTTTCGGCACTATAAGGGCGAATGACACATTGCCTAAATTGGGGTTTTGAGTTGTTTATTTACAGCTATTGGTCAGAACCTACACAAGTGAAGAATTTCGGACAAGTGCGGGTTGTTTCTCAAATGAGCTTGTTCCATTAAGGAATTTGCAAGCTTTAAGAGGGGCTGACAGAAGGGACTTCCCAAACGATACAACCCGATTAAATATTGACTCATCACTTCTTGTTGATGAGCCAGTTGTTTGTTGGCAAATAATATCTCAATGGTCTTGATCAAATGTGGAATCATGGACTTGACCACTTCTTTCCTTAGAATTGAGTAAAACTTGACTAATAATTGGGAGGCCATTTCACACAACTCTTCATCAACTAGTCCCACATAGAAATGATTTTGCAATTGTTCATAGATGAGTAACCACTCTGAAGGAAGAGTATCTTTGAATACTTTCTCTTCCTCTTCTTCAGAAACTTCAATGAGTGCCACTGAAACGCACGCATTAAGAACATCATAATGCTCAATTTCCAAGTGGTCCAAGTGAACAACTCTGCTTGCAAGTTGTTTTCCAACGGTTAGACTGTCCCAGCTGAACGGAATGCTCAAAATTGGGAATTTGTGTTGACTGTTTCCAATTTGGAGTAATTCCACATGATTGGATGGCTGTTCCAAAAGAGAAACTCTCTCCTCTTCGCTCAGAGAGAACAACACATCAAGGAAAAGGTCCGAAAATTGAGTTGAATACTTCTTCAAGTGAGGAGAAAGATATGATAAGACAATATGTTTGAGAATGGAATTCATTTCCTTTTGTAAGAGAGAGACCAATAACTGAACAATTGCTTCCTCATAATTTTTGATCGAGTCAATCATGTAGAGTTTTGTCAGTTCAGTTAAGCATTTTGAACCAAGCACCACAAGCTGTGCTGTAACTTCCCACCAACTATCGTGAATCAATGGTTCAATACTTGGAGTCCACAGGTTTTGCAAAAGGTACAATAAAGGTTGATTTCGTGAGGAAATTTCTCCTCGATTGGAGGAGTTTTCAAAAGGTTCAGATTTTTCATCCTTTTCAAAAACCACATCGTCGAAGGAAAGAAGTGTGTGAAGAATGCCCAAACTTGAAGCTCTCACTTTTGGTGAAGGATTGCAAAGTCCAGATACAGCAACTGTCATGTATTGCTCAAACAGAGGTATTTGGTCCTCTGAAAGAATTGGACCTGAAGCTCCTTGAGAAATTGTCAGCAACGATGACTCCATCTTGACCAATAAAGCCAAAATGTGAACAATTAATGTGGAATCCATCACATTGCATCTCTCTTGAATTTTCAAAATGGTTTTTCTATGAGAAAGAATGTCGCTTTTGCAAAAACTGTAAATGACTTGAAGTACATCTTCTCTCTTGGTTGGCTGAGAAGCGACAACGTCAAGACACTTTTGTAGCCCAAAATCTTCAAAAAACTCCCACGAAGAATCTGGATCCTTGGAAGTTAGCTCTATACCTACTGCTTTCAAAATGGAAACCACACTCTCAAAAGAACTCGTTTGGCATGCTTCTTTCAGGCAAGGAACAAACAGATTCATAAATTTCCAAAATTCTTTTGGTTGAAACGGCATGACTTGAGCATAATCAGAGTGACTCTTTCTTTGATAGTTAAAAACAAAGTTTCAAGAACTTGAATTGGAAGATGATCAATATTTGACAAAAGTGATTGAATGGGATTTGTCTTGTCCACAAATGCTTTCCATTCTTCACCTGATTCTTCAACAAGTGTTTGAGCCAATTCATTCAAATCCTCAACAACACCAACAAATGGTAATCCTTTTTGTTGACTATTACTTTGATGGCTATGGTGGCTTCTTTGACTTTGGTGAGAGGTTGGTTTTGATCTGTTAGTACTTGAAGATTTACTATCTCGCGTAATTTCCAATGAAGGAATGACATGCTGTTCTTCCTTGATCTCTGTCATGGATTCCTTTGCTTGAGCGATTTGATTTCGTTTTAAACTCACAAAACTCGATGGAACAGCTCTTCCGTCATCCTTATAATTTTTTGACAGGGTTGGTTTTGCAAAATTAGGAACATTAGGAATTACTGGTTGAGGTCTCATTGGTTTTGCTTTTTTGATTCTATTGTAAAGTATGAGAATGCTCATTCCAAGTCTATCACAGCATGCTTACTTACGTCTTGTCGGTCAAAAATGTGTAAACTTCCTCAAGTACTTGATTTAGAGAATTTGGTCTGCAAGCGATGAGATCATCAATAACTTTTCGAGAAATGTTTACACCGTGTTTCCGAAAGAATTTTTCAAGCTGTTGCCAATTATCGAGTTTTGCTTTGACTCCAACTCCGACATCAAAGCTATGCATTTCCACTTCATTTGGGTAATATCTTGATATCATTTCAGCAACTAGAAAACCGTTCGAAAAGTCTCGTCTCATGTTCTTGATTGAATACGACAGATCAAGAGACTGCATCCATTTCAAAATTTCTCTCGGGACGCTCATGGTGATGGCTTTGAGCGAATCAGACACACAAATCGGTTTGAATTTTTTTTGTTGTAGTTTGAGATGCGAATGTGTTTGCCGCCAAAATTAATCGTTAATTTTAATTCAAAAAATCAAAAAATAATGTTGCATCACCACTTGAGAAAATCCTTGCTTGACTCCAATAACACGACGGGCACTAGTGCCAACAACAACAAGGAGAATATTACACCTCTCATTTCTAAAAAGGCTCATCTTCTTCCATCCTCCACCCATCAGCCCCTCAAGAAGAAAATCACACAACAACCTCCATCGGAAGCTCCACTCAAGCCAAAACAAAAACTATCCGATGACCACAATCGCCCACACCACAAAAGAACCTTTTCTGAAGCTCTCAAACCAACCACTATTACTACCAACAACAACAACACTCAACAACGTCATCACAGTTGTACAACAGTCCATCGATCTGGTGGCACAACCAGCCCTTCCAAGAAGCAAATGAAATTTTCTGTCTTTGATGATTCTGCTCACAATGGTAACAACAGTAACAATACAAACACTTTGAAACAGTTGATCCCTTCTCAACAACCTTCAAATGAATCATCAACAGCTCAACTTGTAAATTTCGATCTTGTCGATGAAGAAACAGTGATCGCTCCATACAAACAACTGATCACGCAATTGCAGGAAGAAATTCAAGTATTACAAAACGATAAATCCTACTATCAGTTACTTTATCGAACGCTTGCATCCGAGAATGACAAGAACCCACCACAAGATCATACTCAGTCAATGGATGTATTAAGAAAGCAAGTGTCAGCTCTCACCAAAACATCCTCACTACTTCGAAAGCGTATTTCCATGTTATCAAGAGAAAAACGAGATTTACAAGAAGAAATGCAACTTTTGAGAGAAGGTGAAAAAGTATTGAGAGAATTAATACAACAAGAATCTGAGAAGAAAATCTCTCAACTTGAGTTTGAGATTGAACTTTTGCATCAGGAGACAAATGATTTGAAAAAGAAGCATCAAATGGAAATGAAACAAGTGGAAGAACAACTGAAAGAGCAATATGAACAAGAATTACTCGAATTGAGAAAGAAGACTCAGCCTGGAAATCGAGATGATGATGACCTAAGAATAAAGTTTTGAGAATCACTCGAGTGAATGTTTGAATTTTTAAAAAAAAATGTTTTTCAAGCGTACCATCGTTGCTGCTCCAAACTCTTCGCAGCAGCAGCCTTCAAACAACAACACCACCACACAGTCCTCGAGTCGGACACCATCCTCCAATGATGATCGTGGTGGACCTGTTTATAACTTTGAACACACATGGAAACATATTAAAGAAGGAATCAACAAGCTGATCGAGTTTCTTGATTCGAATCTTACCAAGCCTTTTAATTACACCGAGCATATATCACTCTATAGGTAGGTGTCATCATCATCCTGATCATGTTGTAACCATTAAATGTATTGGTTCCTTATAATGATATACAAATGATCATCAATCAATCATTGTAATTATGAACAACGGATGGTCTTTTGTTTTTTTATTCAATTTCTCATATCGATATTTTATTCCTCCTATTATTCATATCGATATGAATAATCATACGAAATTCAATCACCAATAATAATCTGTCATCATCATCATTTCAATGACACAGTGATGTCTACAATCTTTGCACTCAAAGAGTAGATACTGGTGATCCCTATCTCAATGCAGCTGATTTACTCTATGACAAACATCGTAAATGTGTTTCCGAATATTTGAAACAAAAAGTCATTCCTTCTCTCAAAGAAAAACAAGGCCAAATACTCCTCACAGAAGCTATCAAACGATGGAAAGACCATCAATTAATCATCAAATACTTGTTGAAAATATTTCACTATCTGGATCGATTCTATACTAAAAATAATGGTAAAAACTCTCTCCGTGAAGTTTCTCTTGATTTATATTATGAAAAAGTCTATTTGAAAATTAAAACAGATTTAGCACAAGCAATCTATGACAAAATTCAAAGTGAAAGAGATGGTGAAATTACAGATCGATCCATATTAAAAGATGGAATTTCACTTTTCATTGAAATGGCTCAAGAGAATCGACCAACCACCTATGAAGATGATTTTGAAAAGAAATTGTTGCATGAAACTGAATTATATTACAGTAGACAAAGTTCAAAATGGATTGAAGAAATGAACTGTGTCGATTATATGAAAAAAGTAGATGAGAGAATTGCAAGTGAAGAACGTCGATGTTTAACTTATTTGGCACCTCAAACAAAACCCAAATTGATGAATGTTGTCTATGATGAATTAATTAGAAAACATCAAATGACCATGATCAATATGGAAAATTGTGGAATGGTTTCTCTATTGCAAACCATGGCAAAGGAAGATTTGAGTCGAATGTTTAAATTTTTTGAGATGATTCAAAATGTGAAACCCATGGCTGACAAGTTGGAACAATACATTCGAGAGGAAGGTATTAAATTGTTAGAATCGTTTGCAAGTAAGAGTGTTATTGATGTGAAGGGTTATGTTGAAGGGTAAGTAGGATCCTAACATGATGATGGTGATGATACATTTCATTGATTCTCATATGCGTGGTTTTTTCATGACCATGTCTGTATTTTTGATGATCCTACTTTTCTACTATTATTACTAAAACTCATTCTAATACTACTCGTACTAATGCTATTATTACTAATACTTCTACTATTATTACTAACTCCAGATTATTGCAATTACATGATACCTTTTTGAAATTGGTGAATATGGAATTTAAAAAGAATTCTCTCTTTTTAGAAGCCATGCACAATGCATTTGTCTCTTTTGTGAATATGGATTTAGTATTAACCACCAACTCGAGTGCTGCCACTACTACTGCTACTTCAACTACTGCAACACCTTCCATCGTGGCTACTACATCTCCTCAGAAAATCTCAAGTCCTTTGCCATCCATGACAACTCTTACGACTACTCCAAGTGCTACTACAACAACAACTACGAGTATCACCACCACCAATACTACCATCACTACCACCACCACCACCACCACTACTACTACTACTACTACTACCAATACCACAAGTGATCCATTCTCCTCTTCATCACTTCTTTCCTCTACCAATAGAGCATCTGGTGCTGAATTAATATCTTCCTACTGTGATATTGTCATGAGAGAAATTGACAAGTACGATGAACTCAAAATTGATGAACTTTTTGAAAATATTGTTCGTCTTTTTGGTTATTTGAGAGATAAGGATTGTTTTGTAGAATTCTATCGAAGACAATTGAGTAAGAGATTAATCGTTTCATATAACAGCAAAACTACTTCCACACGAAGACTCTCTTCTGATTATGATTCTGAACGTTTATTGATATCAAAACTTAAAATCAAAATGGGAGCACAATTTACATCCAAATTAGAAGGAATGGTCAAAGATAAAACACTCTCTGAAGAACTTGCTACTTCTTTCTCTGAATATTTAAAGAATAAGGGTTTGACATTACCACTTGATTTCACACCACAAATATTAACCACTGGATTTTGGCCAACACTCAAATCAGAACCAATGAATCTCTCTGAAGAATTTACAAAATGTGTGAATGCGTTTAAAGATTTTTATGATTCAAGAACTGAAAGTCGATCTTTGAAATGGATTCATTCTTTAGGTACATGTCAAATATTAGCAAGATTTGTGAATGGAGATCGAGATATAATGCTCAATCAATTTCAAGCGATGATTTTAGTTTTATTTAATAATTCAAATGAATTGAATACTCTACAAATTCAAGAATCACTTCAGATACCATTGGCAGAGATCAAAAAGAATATCATGGCATTGTGTGCTTCCAAAAATGCCAACATTCTACTTAAAACTGGAAATGCTAAAACTGTTTCCAATGAAGATGTCTTTAGTGTGAATGTGAATTTCACTTCTAACAATCGAAGAATCAAAGTACCAAATCTGGTCATCAAGATGGATGTGAAAGAGAGAGAAGATGTTGATCGCACAACTCAAGAAGATCGTAAACATGCCATTGAAGCTGCCATTGTTCGTATTATGAAATCAAGAAAACAATTGGATCATCAAAATTTGGTATTAGAAACCATCAAACAACTCTCTTCACATTTCTTACCTGATCCAAAGATTATCAAGAAGAGAATTGAGGATTTGATTTCACGTGATTATTTGGAAAGAGATTCATCCAAAGCAAATGTGTATCGTTATTTGGCATAAAGTGTTATTTGGCATCAAGAAGTGATTCACTTTTCATTTAACAACAACAACAACAACAACAAATGGATTCTTTTTGTCTGTACTCCATCCTCATGTACAATGATTTATATCCATTCATGAATCGATTTATACATACATGGATCGATTTTTACAACAGTAGGTCAACACTAATCGTAGGTCAGTTGACTCTGTTCCAGAATGTATTGGAAAATTCAGACTTTGTCAATTCGATAGGCTTCGAGCACGAGCTTGGAAATGGTAACACGTTAAAAGTTCGGTGAAAATTTTTAAATCGCACAAAATTTGACTCCAATTTAGAAAAAATCGAAAAAAATTGAATCAAAAAAAAATTCCTCAAAAATGTCGCAGGCCAAAGCCTTGAGCCTCGTTTCTGTTGCTTCTCTTCTCGTCGTGGTGGCCACCACCCTCATGATGCACACAGTTCCATGTTTGGCTGCTGAAGCTGCTTCACCAATTGTTCTCAACAGCAACGGACAGACTGTTTCCGGTTCAGTCTCTCTAGGTTCATGGCAATACTATGTGATTTATGTCGATCCATTGAGCTCCATGACTGTTACTTTGAAATCATCCAATCAAGTCTCACTCTATGTCAAGTATAATTCCGTACCAACCTACAACAGTTATGATTATGTGTTGAAGTATGCGGGTGAAGAGAAACAATTTCTCACTCTCAAGAATCAAACTTCAAATGTTCCATATTATTTTGGTGTCTATGGAACAGGTTATACCTCTAATTCTTATAATTTTGATGTGAGTGTTAGTACATTGAATGGATTGGCAAATTGGATCGTTGGTCTTATTGTTACTGGTGTCATTATTGTGTTTGTGTGTTCAATTTTGAGTATTTTAATTCCAGTGCTCATTTGTTGTGGAGTGATTACATGCTGTGGATTTGGTAAGTATGATATGGAATGATGATGTATTTCATTTCTCATATTGGATGTGATATATTTAATGTATATATTAATTTAATAATGTATTTCATTTCTCATATTGAATTAATGAATCATGCATATGGTTAAATGATTTGTATTGAATAGGTGCTGCAGCTGCTGCAAGTTCAACTGGTAGTGGTGGCACTGGTGGTGTTCGATATCATCACGTGCACAATAATGTGGTCTATTCTGACACTCAACCTATTTTGCAACAACCACCCACTCAATACTATCAACCACCACAACAAATTTAAATTCAATATTGAACTCGAGTGGATTGCAGCGTTGAAAAAGAAATTAGAGTTTGAACCCTTCGAGGTATTCTTTGAAAGAAATATTACAAATAAATGTGGAACGGGTAGCTAGCTCACTGTTCGGACCAATTGAATTTTTACTGAAATTTCAGAATTTCATCTTGGTGCAATGTTTTCACAGATTGTTTTTATTGTGATACTGACTGGTGGTGAGTCGAGTCACACGTATAGAATTCAAAGAAGAGGTTTGTTACAAAATTTTGTGATGCGATATCGGATGAAAATGTTTCGTCACCACATGTGGTGGTGGTGGTGGTGGGTGTGTCTATCATGATAGGACATTCATTTGTGTCCATGTATATATTTCACATTGTGTCATCATCATGATGGTAAAAAAGTATATAAATGTTGATGTGGTGTGGTAACTTGGTTGTTTGAACTACTCTATGGAGAAACTCTTACATGATCATACAATCCTTCTTCTTTTTGTCTCCTTTGGATCCCTTTCCACCCTTTCTTGTGCCATTACCACCACCACCATTACCATTACCGTTACCATTACCACCACTGTTGGATTCCATTTCCTTTTTTGCTAACAAATTCTGATAGTGTGCCTCAATGACACATTCAAATACCTCTGCAAGTCCTTGCATGGTCTTGGCTGAACACTCTCTATAGAATGCAGCACCAATTTCCACTTTCATTTGTTCGCCTTCTTTCTCCGTGTAAGGTGCTGCTGCTTTTTGTGAGAGTTTTTTTCGTAGTTCAGGATCATCTCTCAAATCAATTTTAGTTCCAACCAATACAATGGGTGTATCTGGACATGATTGTTTCAATTCTGGAATCCATTTCGATTTCACATTTTCTAATGAACTTGGATTTACAACACTAAAACACACCAAAAATACATTTGTATCAGGATAGGAGAGTGGTCTTAATTGATCGTATTCTAAATTAACAAGAAGAATATATGATGGAATTGAGAATATGATATTATTGGAATGACATACCTTCTTGTCCAGCTGTATCCCACAGAGCGAGTGATACGGTGTGACCTTTAAATTCTACATTACTACTATAATTGTCACAAATGGTTGGAATGTATTCTAAATGATAGGATGATATGTGTGTAGTAGTTGAATAAAAGTAATAAAAGTTGAAGAAGAAGAGAACCATTCGTGTTTCATATATGACACAGTATGTTGTTGTTTAGGTTGTTGTTGTAAAGTAATAAAAGTATGGTTTAGGTTGTGGTTTAGGTTGTGGTTTAGGTTGTGGTTTAGGTTGTGGTTTAGGTTGTTGTTTAGGTTGTGGTTTAGGTTGTGGTTTAGGTTGTTGTTGAAATTAATACATTTCCATAGAATCCTTGTGTGAATGTGTGTTCTAATAATAATCTCATACTCACCATCAGGAAATTCATTGTTACTGTATGATAACAATAGACCTAAGTGTGTGTGTGTGTGAGTATAATCATGATCATCAATGAATTATTGTTATTGTTCACATCATCATCATACCATTCATTTACACACACACACACACCACACACACACACACACGTGTGATGATACAGAAAGTCATTCAATGATCACAATGATGATGATTGTGTTCCATCCAAATTGAAAAGTCATCATCAAATACACACACAATACACACAATACACACACACATATTCAGGTACATATCATTCGTGAATTCATCATCATCATTGTTGTAAAAGAACATCAAACACATAACAAGGATTCAAATAGAAAATAATTATGTGTGGACAAGATTCATCAGTACAATAATTATGTGTGTACAAGATTCATGATTGACACAAATAGTATAATACTCTCTGGTTAAACACAATCACTACTCAATATCACTCACATCACTCAACTTACATGTTTTACCGACAGCACCATCTCCAACTACCACACATTTAATTTGATCATAGTTGCCTTCTTCTTGTGAGTCATCGTCTGTCATTTTGTGTTTTATGATGATGGTTGTTGTTGAATGATGATGGTAGTCGTAGTGGTAGTAAAGGATGTTGTTGTTATTGATGATAATGTTGAATAATATTCAAAAGAAGATGTTGTCAATGATGATGAGTTTAGTCTAATCTATAGGAATATGAACACGAGAAGACAAGAGTGATATTTTTTTTACAGGGATGTTTGACAGGTGATGGGAGGGGTGTTTGTTTTTTCCATGTTCACCTTGTCTTTAATGTCTTTGGAAGAAGAAAAAGATTGCACACTGTTGAAATATTTTTGCAGAGAGATTTTTATCCAACAACAACCTCAGAGGTTCATGAACATCTTTGACCTTTTCAAAATGTCGAACAACTGTGAGAGAAACTAAAGAGTCCAAAGAGAGTGAGAAAGGATCAATCTCTCCCGAATGGAAATTTTATTCATTGCGCGATATTATTTTGAGAGAGTGAATGGGGTGAGAGGGAGATGGGTGTCAGCATTTAATCAATTGCTGCTGACGTACAGTACGTACACCTCTCTCTGAGAGGTCCTTCAGAGGTCGCGTTTCTCTCTTTCTCAAAAAAAAAATGGCACCACCACCTTCATCCTCTCATCATGCAAAGACTCTTCTCTCACTCTATCAACAATTAAGACAAGCCATTGATGAAGAAGATGAAGAGGTTATTCATTCGACTCTTGAAAAGTGTATGTATTATCATGCGATGGAATAGGTGAATGGACCTAAAATCACTTGGTTATATATAACTAATGATCAACTCATAACTATATGAATCATCAATGCACACTCACATGATGAAATTTGTTTGTCCGATTGATGATTGCATGTTAATAATTACAACAATAATGACAATAATATTTACAACAATAATAATAATGACAACAACAACAACAACAGTACTCTCCGATAAGAATCAATCCTCCTCCTCCTCCAACAATGAATTAAAACAATGTAAAACCATTAATCTCATTCAAAGAGGAGAATTTCAAAAAGCATTAGACTCTATTGGTAATAATAATTTATCTTTGAAAACCTCTCTTCAAAAGATTTATTGTTTGTATCGTTTGAATCGAAGTGAAGAGGCTTTGAAAGAAATTTCAAATTTAGAACAATCCAACAACAAGAACCACCTTTCTGATCATACTTTATTGTTACATTTGAAGGCTCAAATTGTAAGTATTCATTGAAATAATAATACACCATTATGAAACCACAACATTCAAAATCCTTTTTTGATCATTCATACACGACTTTTGGTTATCATTGTATCACTCTCACCCACTTTTGCTGTCATTCATCACTTTTGCTACCATTTACAATATTGTGTATCATCATTACTCCATTCACGACCATCACCACGACCATCACGACCACCGACCCATCCACACACACATATATATATATTCGAATAGTACTATCGAATGGGATGTTACAATGAATCTTCACAAATCTATGAATCCATTCTTCAAAAAGAATATCCCAATGCTTCTTCGAATCATACCATTGACAATGATGAATTACTCACCAATATGAGTGCCTCTTTCACCATGAATGGTAATTACCAACGAGGTATTTCAATTACCAAACAATCCGATCACAATACTCATGAATTGGCTTACAATGCAGCATGTGCATCGATTGGATTAAAAGATTATGAACAAGCAGCCAAGTATTTGGAATTTTCAAAGAAATTATGTAAAGATGATCCAAATGAATTAACATCCATTATGGTTCAATTAGCATTTGTGAGATATTTGAATGGACAAGTAGAAGAATCTAAAAATATGTTTGAACATGTTTTTAATCATTCATCCAAAGATAGTGTAGCATGTGCTGTTGCAGCAAATAATTTAGTTGCTATTCAATCCAATCCATCATTGAATCCATCACTTACATCTAATGATGTTTTAGATGCTCAAAAGAAATTGAAATATGCCTATCAAGATAAATTACAAGGAAAGTTAACAACTCAACAAATTAAGGGTGTGACTTTGAACAATGCTCTCTTATTACTTCAAATGAACAAGTATGAAGAATGTGAGAGAGTTGTACAAACAGAATTGAAAAAGTTATATCAAGAAGAATTCATTCCAACATTGATTCTTTCTTACATTTACTTGAAACAAAAGAAATTTAAAGAATCAATTCAAGTATTAGAAGAATATTTAAAACAATCCACCACATTTGTGGACAAATCCAGTTTGGATGGTGGTATTGCACAATTAGCTCTTGCTCAATATTATTTACAACAAGGAACACCTGAATTCTACAAGGAATGTATTCAAGTATTGAATCAATCTAAATTTAGAAATCAGAAAGGAGTGGAAAGTTTATTAATTGCTCTCTATATGAAACTTGAAGATATGGATTCTGCTTTGGATCTTTTCCAGAAATCATTTTTGAAATATTCCAGTGGTGGTGATGGTGGTGGTGATGATGAGAGTAGTAGTAGTAGTGGGACTACTACCTCCTCTAGTAACAACACCATCAGCACTACCCAAACCACTTGGATGGTTGAGATGGCTACTGAATTGGCTCGATTACAAATGGCACACAAGAAATACAAGGAAGCAGCCTCTACCTATGAAATGCTTACTAAAATGGAACCAAACCATATTCAACATTTAGCAGGTCTTATTGATGCCATGTCCTATTATGACATTGATGCTGCTGAGAAATTTGCCAAGAATTTACCACACATCACCACCACTAGTGGTGAATCATCATTGAATATAGAAGCATTGGAAAAGACAAGTGCAGTGAGCATGTTCACATCATCATCTGCCAACAACAAGACGAGTGATCATTCAGTCATGATTCCATCCATTTCATCATCCAACCAACAACATGGCACTAGTTCTGACGCTACTACCAATACTACTTCAAAAAGACAATCCAATGCTCTTCAAAGAGCAGATGAAAAGAAGAAACAACAACGAAAAAAGAGAAGAAACAAATTACCAATTGGAATTGCACATCATGATACTCTATCGAAAGAATTTAAATCGAGATGGGAATCTAAAAAGAAACAAGTGGTCAAAACTGGAACTGGATTTGGTCATCAAGGATCATCCGATGTAGAGGCTCAGAAAGCAATTTCACACAAGAAGGGACAAAAGACTCTACTCACACCTGAACAAGCTTTGGGATTGAAGAGTAGTGGTGGTGCTGGTGGTGCTGGTGGTGCTGGTGGTACTAGTGCTGGAAAGAAAAAGTCAAAGAAAAAGTAAACAACAAATGCAATGATTTCATTTGCAGCAAAAAAGAACATTCTCTTCATATCTGTTCACAACACTCCAAATTCTTCAATAAAAAAAATGAGTCGATCGGTGTTGGAGTTTCAACTCCGTCTCTTTGATGAATACGTTCAACAACAAGAAGAAGATTTCAACAACAAGAATACCACCACTACGACATATCATGATCCTATCACACCTATCGGAGATGAATCCAATTCAGAAAAGCAAACAAAAAAGAATGATTCATCACACATCTCCAAGAAACAAATCCGTAAAAAGAGAGATGAAAAAAAACATGCCAAAGAATCTCTTTCTGACAAGGTGAAAAAAGATGCTTCAAAGAAATTGAATATTTATAAAGAAAATGTTAAAATCATGAAAAGAAAGAGAAAACAATTATTGGCAAACAAACAATCACAATTATTGGAATTGCTGACAAAGAAATAATTGTGATTGACTGAAACAAAATTTTGTTGAAATATGAGCGATACAACAAGTTTACTTGTACATTTAATACATTACATTTAATACATTCAAGTAATTCAATATATTGTAAGGTCAAGTCCATGCATCCAGAATCCTCTCTCTGTACATTTCTTCATGCAAGATTTTATTTTCAAACAAATCAATTCACTCAGCGAAATGAAATCTGTCATGATTAAATAACTTTTAAAAATAGCTGTTTCTCTATATAGGGTGATGATACAAACAGTTTAGTGTGTGTGTAAATTGTCCCGATCCAGAATGTCAAATCAAGTACATGTTCAAATCTTCTTTCAATGTGTGTGTGATTCATTGCAACATGACTGTTTATTTCAATCTTGATAAATCCTCTCTACTAATATGTAACATTCCACCTTTCCATTTACCAACCATTCCACCTTTACCATACTTGGATTTGACTTGAGCTTGTCCTACTTCATTGGGTGATCCATATTTAGCATAGAATTTTCGAGTTTCATTTTGTTTGCGTTGTTGTTCCATGAGACGTTTCTTTCGAATTTGTTTTTTATCTAAAATTCCATTTCGTATCATTTCTCTTGTTTCTTGTCTTTGTATTTCTTTTTCTTGTTTCTTTTTGTCTTTAAATTCTCTATAATTCATGTATGGTTGAGATGTTGTTGATTTCAAATCATCTTTGAATATTGATTTTGAAACATCTTTTCCTGCAAGTTTATATTCTTCTTGCATCATTCTTTTAATTTTTAATTTGGATGATTCATCCATCATCACATTGAGTGGTGATGATCCATTTGAAGAATTCTTGTGAGTTTGTTCAAATACAAATTTCTTCATTTCAAATGTTAATTGATCCATTTCTTTTTGAACTTCATTCTTTCTTGAAATGTATCGATTACTTTCAATATCAAATGCATCTCCTTGTCTTGTTTGTTTCAAATCTAAACTCATTTCTTTTAATTCATTCATAAATTGTAAATGAGTTTGTTTTTTTAATTCTTTTTTTTGTGAAATGGTGAGTGCAAGTGGAGCTTCTTTTCCATCCAATGAAGAATGTTGAATATTGGATGAAAGAGGAATACTTTTTTCTAAGGATTGTAAATTAACCATATTTGTAAATTTCATTACTTTTTGAGGAGCAGAAGGAATGGTGATGGGTTTGTTGTTGGGTTTGATTGGTTTCTTTAAAGTTGGTAATGATAAAGTTGATGATGAGGAGGTTAATAAAGTTAATGATGATGAGGAGGTTAATGATGAGGAAGAGGAGATACCACTCGTTGTCTTTTTTGAACAACAACTTGTTGTAGTAGCATTATTGGCAGCAGAATCATCACTGATCGGATCGGAATGATTCGTTTTGCTGTTGTTGATGGGATGAGAGGGTGATTGTTGTGGATTATTGATAATGTCTGTTCCTCCTTGTTGTTGTTGTTGTTGTTGTTGTAACTTGGCAATCCGTTGAGTCAACAACAACTTTTTCGACGACGAAGAGGGTGGCACCATGGATGGTGATTGGATCCTTCTTGTTGTTGTTGTTTATTTTTGAATAATTCTTTCTCACACGGTTCAACAATTTCTTGCACTACTAAAAAATGTCCACTCAATCAACCAACACCACCTCCAACAACACCAACACAACCACTCTTTTAAAACCCGAAGAAGCCCAAAGCTTTGAAGAATTAATTTCATTTTGTGAGCATGAAAAATCTGAAATTCAAATCACTGCACTCTCTCATCTCCTCTCTACCTTCAAAAATCATCATTCACCCTATATTAAATATTTGAGATATCATTCTCGCTTGATGGAGAAGTGTATGAGAATACTAGTCACAGTGATTGAGAGAAGTATTCCATTCGTAGTTGCAACAAGTGCACAAAAACTGACAACCACTACTCCCGTCGCGACAAGTACGAAAACTACGACAATTACCGCTTTGAATCCATCTACAACTCAAAAGGCTCAATCATCAAAGAAAGACTCTTCACAAGAATCCAACAACACACTGACACAACAACAAGTCATTCATATCAATACATGTAAATTAGCCTTATCATGTCTCATTCTATTATCTCAAGATGAAAGTACTCTCTTGTTGAATGAAATGGTGAAGAATAATATTATTGAAATTTTAATGAATAAGAGCCAATTATTTGACATTGAAAGTTGTGCTCATTCTTCCACATTGAATACCTCTTCCACACGAAAGAATCCATCCAACAATACAACTAGTACCATCATGGAATATGTTGTATTACTTTTAAGTAATTTGACATCAAGTTCAGAATTAGCAAGATTGAAATTTCTTCAAATGGATGGAAATTTGACAAGAAAAAGGGTACAGAAAATGAGCCTTTCAAGTGAAAGCAGTGATGATAGTACAAGTGATTCGAGTAGTAGTAGTAGTGATGATGATGATGAAAATGACAAACTCAATTCTTCTCTTCGAGATTTATACATTAGAAAATTAATGAACTATTTCATGAATGGATTGGAAACATTTTCACAACAACACTCTACTGTAACCCACTCATCTTTATCTCTTCAATACTCTTATTTAATACCAACCATATTAGCAAATTTAGCTGTCAATGATCATGCAAAACATGCAATGATATTATCCTCATCTCAACACTTGAATCATTCTTCACATTTACATACTCTTTTATTTCATAATAGAAATATTAATTTATTCAAAAGTTTTGATATTCATGAAGATCAATGCATGAGAAGAAGAGCAATACTTTCTCTATTGAAGAATTGTTTGTTTGATAAAAAGAATATTCGATCCATTCTATTATATCAAACGTTTGATCATTCAATTCATGAACATGATCAGGATGGTGATGAAAGTGATAGTAGAAGAGATTTAGTGATGGATTTAATTCTCTATCAATTGACATATCATCTCTTTCCTTCCTATATTCGAGTACTTGCTGCTGAATGTCTAGTATTAATTACAAACACACCATTTGGAGTAGAATATTTAAAAAGTAATTATTTAACAAAGATTAAGGAATTGAAAAAGAGTAATATTTCAAGTCAGAGTGGTGGTGATTCAAGAATATTGGGTGCAACAACTAGTAGTAGTACCACTACCAATATTACTACCAATACTACTACCAATATTACCACCAATATTACCACCAATACCAATACTACTACCAATACTACTTCAACAATGAGTAGTAGTAGTAGTAATTCTGAACATCTTCAACTCCTCGATCAAGTCATTCAGAGTATTGAAAATAGAAATATGATTAGACTTGGATCATTGGTGAGAGTGGATGAGAATGGACAAATGATTAATGTAGATTCTACTCATACTACTAGTAAGAGTACGACTACTACTACAAATGATGATAACGATCACCACCACCATCACCACCACCACCACCAAACGACTCCAAGTGAAAACCCACAACAAGAGTATCCACAAGAACCACCTTCTTCTTCTTTGAATGATTTAGATTAACAGTGTGTGATCAATGGTGGTGGTGGTGGTGGTGTTGTTGTATAAGAATGGATTCAATCTCAAACCTCATCATTGTGAATCTTCATGATTGTGAGGCTGAATGTTTTGATTCATAAGAATCCAAAAGAGGACTCTGTTGTTGTAAACAACATTCTGTCCACGGAATTGAAACATAAAAAATATTTCAAACACACACACGCACACAACTCGGCTTACAAAATCATGTCCAGACCAAAAGTCTTCTTCGATGTTACCATTGGAAACAATCCAGCAGGTAGAATTGTCTTTGAATTGTTCAACGATGTTGTTCCAAAGACTGCTGAGAACTTTAGAGCCTTGTGTACTGGTGAGAAGGGATTCGGATACAAGGGATCCATCTTCCATAGAGGTTTGTAATCGTAAATCGATGATGTTTTTTTGTATACGAACGACAATTTTCCAAATGACCCTATTATATTCATGAACCCATTCATTATTGATGTTTCTACACACCATCGTGTTTGAATCATTGTTCATTGAATTTCAAACGAAAATGAATTCATCTACAACGATCATCATGATGATGGCTTAATTGATCCTTTTGAACCTCCATGATGATGCGATTCATGGATTCATGGGTCCAATCAATACTACCTTCTCTCACCACACACACTACTCAGTCATTAAACAATTCATGATTCAAGGAGGAGACTTTACCAATTTCAATGGTACTGGTGGTAAGTCCATCTATGGTACCAAATTCGAAGATGAGAACTTTAAGATCAAGCACACTGAGCCTGGATTGTTGTCCATGGCCAATGCTGGTAAGAATACCAACGGTTCTCAATTCTTCATTACCACTGTTCCATGCCCATGGTTGGACGGTAAGCATGTTGTCTTTGGAAAGGTTGTTGAAGGAATGGATATTGTGACTCAAATTGAAAACTCCAAGACCAATCCAAATGACAAACCGCTCCAAGAAGTTAAGGTTGCTGATTGTGGTCAATTGTAAATGATGTTCCAACAATAAATTTTACATCGTTGAATGCTCCTTAAAGACAATACAGCTCTCCATCATGATGATTCAGCGTCAACAAAATTTTGTCCAATACAGCTTCTTCATCAATCCCACTTTGTCGTAAACAAACAACCATCCCATTCATTCAGTTCCCTTCTTTTCAACAGAATTGAATATTTTGATCTAAATTACTACCCACCACCACTTAACATTTGCTTTTAATAAGGATAATAAACAATGAACCAATACTGGAGATAAAAGTTTTACAAAACAATTGAACTAAATAAGGGGCAATATTTTAACACTATTTCATAATCAAAATTATATCACAACAAGACGTTAAAGATAAATACAAAAATACTATTGATATTCGTAACTATAGAAAGACAATTACTATAACTGATTCGATATGCATATTCATTAAATAATTTTAATTATCACGATACATAGGAGGTTAGATTCTATTCAAAATCAATTTACACATGATAAACACATGGATAAATATATTTATTATTCACTTATAAATATTACTCAGCGAACATAGAGGAAGTATTAATAACCATTATTAATTGGAATATATAAACGACGTCAATGCTAGTAAACCCTTTTTATGACAATTCAATATTTATTATTAAGAAATATTCATATTTTAAAAATAATCATTTTCAATAATCTCTTTCTTTTCTAAAGTAGCATTATATAATTTGACATTTTTATTTGGTTATAGAACAATTTATCATTTAATCAATAAATACAATATATTGTGTTAAAAATCAATGTTGGAAACACTTCTTTTCTTTGCTTGGATCTTTTCAAATTTTCACATGGGAATGGTGTTACAAAACTGTTACAGTATTTTCCTTATGAGGCAAACTGTTCTTATACCAAATGAACAGCTTGTTTCTTCTCTAACCTTAGCAATAACAAAAAATGTTACATCAACATCCTTCTAGTTCATGCTAACGACAACCTTGACATCGAATGACTTCATCACAAACTAAGCGAAGAGGTGAGAAGGTGTGATCGCCTATTCCGAGAAGAAAATCTTACCCTTTCCCAAAGCATAGACCTCTCTGTCCATCAATAGCAAAAAGCTTCCACCGCCACTTCATGACTCTTGTTTGGAAGAGACATTGGTTGAAATGGAATGGATAATCGAATTCTTCTGTCCTATTGTGGAGATAATTGAGTTTGAACTTGGCAAAACCATTTCAAGTGCCTTGAAGTGCGAGCTGAGAAAATTGTTTGTACAAGACCTTTATTAAACATTGGAATCTCTCACTACTCTTGGAGATTGCAACACATTTGATCTTGGAGATTGCAATTCAATTTCAATAATTTCTTCATCTTTTCCTGAGTAGTTGAAATTTGTTTCAAAACTCTTCTCATCCTGCAGCATGTCAAAATAACTATTCTCATAAGCGTAATCTTTCATTTCAGCATCTTGTTGATTAGGTGCTGCAAATGTTGCCTTTAATCTCTTGGACAGTCTCTTTTCATTGGTGTTTGAAAGTGTTGATGGTTGAAGACCTGTGGTGGTTAATCGACGTCCATGTTGTGAAATTTGTCGAGACAAGTGATGAGAAGATGAATTCAATGAATTAATACTACTACTAGTTCCATGATTCAAATTCCTTCTCTTCCAAATATACTTTCTCAAGAGTGGAGTCATGAATACAAGAACACATACACTGCATAAACCCACTCCATTCACCACATACAAGACAATACTTTGAGTTTGTTCAGAGAGTATCCAAGAATTTCCATACACACTACTCAGATCATTCATTCTCAACAAGTAATAACCAAATAATAAATTAAATGTTAAAAGAAAATGAATCAAACTACTTGACAAGGAATCACTCCATTCCGCATAGGGTCTCATTACCAAACAATACAATCCCATTAAGAATAATAATCCACTTGCAATTGGTGCTTGAATGAGAGTATGAGTATTGAGGAATGAACAAATGACACACAATACAATTCTCTCAAACATGTAAATGACATGTTGATATCGAAATACATGTTGAATCGAAGACATGACATGAGAGATGAATCTCCATAGGAAATGCAATGGAATGATGACACAACGTCGATCAGCATGATTGTCACTCTTATTTGATTCTTGTCTATGGAATGGAAGGATTCTTTTTGGACCACCATGTGGTTGAAAATTCTTACATTTAAAAAATTCAAACCATACACTCACTCCCAATGTACCTTCTTGTCTCACCATTTTCACATATTTTCTGTCTAGTAAACGTTCATCTTTGTGAATGGATTTCAATAAGAGTTTACGTTCTTCTTTTGAAATGGAGTCTTGAATGGTGGTTGTAGTAGTGATATTATTATTATTAGGAGGAGGAGGAGGGGGATTGGTAGTATTGGGAGGAATAGTAGTAGTTGAATGATTTACCATTCTCTTTGGATCCTCTTCAGATGATGGAATTGAAGGACTTGTTGTTGGATGATCATTGCTCGATGGTGGTGGTGGTACAACACTTGATTCTTCTTTCTTACTGAAATATTGAATCTTTTTTAAATGCAACAACCATTCGTCTTGTTTGAGAGAATGAATAATTTTCTTTGAATTTCTATGAATTAAAATTGTGAATAAGAGTGGAATCAATAGACAATACAAAATACCAAAACCCAATGATGCCCAATACATGATGGGATATAAAAGTGGATTATAGAATGAGAGTGGACATGTTTCATCTGGATAGATTCGAAGTGTGTTGTTATTGAAAGAAGAAGTAGATAAATTACTTAAAGTAGTCAATCTATGACTTGAGAAGGTGGTGAAAGTATTGAGTATGGTATTAATGGGGAGATCATGATGACCATTATTATTAGGATGGATCAATGATGTTGTTGTACCATTGGTGGACCATTGATGACGATTATATTGTTCATAATAATCAATCCATGTACTCTTATACTTCATATTTGCAATTGAAATGACATCTTGTTGACATTCAAATGAAGCAAAAATATCTCTCAATGCAATAAAATAAAAGAATAAAAAGAGTAAAAAGAGTACACGTTGTCTAGATTTAAGTAAATATGAATAAAAGAATGAATAATTTTGATAGTTCCATCTAAATAATATCATATAGATCATGAAGAACAAGAATAACATGATCACAATAAAGAGAGTAACACCCAATACAATCCATACATCGATTGGGGTGGGTGCTTTACCTTGTAGAATGCTAATCATGTTTTCAAAATGTTTGAAATAAAATCATTCTTAATTTGAAACTTACTTATTATAGGATAACGGAAATACTGCCAATGATAGAAATGTTCCAATAATCACAAGAGTCATCATGATCAAAATACTTGACAACAAAGTCCATCCCAATTTCTTTACAAATAATACCTTCAATCGATCAAAAGATGGATTCCATAAAAATATTACTAAAAATAGTAATGGCAACAGCATTTCCATAGAATATTTAAAATAATAATTATTCACATGAAAAGTATTCCATAACAAATCTATACTTCCAACACTCAAAACCAACCATTTGGCAACCATTGTAAAATATTGTGGCCATGGTATTGTAAATGAGAAACATATTGCAAATAATTGTAATGAAAATATTATCATTTCAATTCTATTTAAAAATCCTTCAAATAAATCACCCATTTGATTTCTAATATTCAATAATTGTCTATAGTATTGAATAATAGAAATGTTATCAAAATTATCTTGAATAAATTTAAATGGAACAAGAGGATCATAAGGATCATTTAAAAAGAGATGAGATCTCTTATCAGTGGTGAGAAGAGTGGTTGCTTTTTGGAGATTACAAGTCATGAGGGTTGGTGGAGCATCAATACTTTGGGGAACATCAATTCGAACAGAAGGTGGTCGTGCTAATGGATCAGCATGAGAATGTAACGGATCTGAAACAACAACAGTTGATTGAGACGATGAGAAATGAACACCACCAACACTACCACCAACACCATTGATTGTCGAGTGACCCTTTACAAGACGATCGTCTTCATGGAGTGCTGTTGTACGAGTTTGAGAGACATGATACATGGTTGTTGCTTCTTTCTTGATCTGTGCAAGAATACTCTTCTTAACTGTTGAATAGGTTAATACAGGTCTAATCATTGAGAGTGAAGTATCCAAAGATGAATATTTTTGATCAATTAAATCTCTCAATTTTGAAATCTCAACACTGACATGAATCTTTTCATTGGAATGCACTTGACATCCATCCACTTGTTCCAATGTTCTCACATGACTCAATAATAGAAATCTATAATCTTGTATTGGAATGTGAATGGAAGAGAAATGAATAGATTTTGGACCAATTAAATCAAATTGTGAAGTATTAGCAAGAGCATTGGAATGAGTATTGGGAATTTGTGGTGATAAATGAGGAGAGGGTTCATGAAGATTGGAATCTGGTGTGTGATTGTGTGGTAATTGTTGTTGCTGAGGTGGTCGTAGTGGTGGTGGTCGAATCGAGGTGGTGGTACTGCTATTACTACTATTACTACTACTACCACTGATACTCGTAGTGTTGTTGATACGAGGAAGAATGGTGGTGTTGGCACTAGTAAGGACAGGATTGTTCATCTTGACTTGTTGTGGTGAAATACTCGTCATTGCACTACCACTACCGCCACCACCACCAGTAGTAGTAGTAGTAGTAGTAGTCGTACCAGAGGTGGTCGTCGTACCAGGTAGCAGGACCTGTGTAATACCTGATGTCGTGGTGGTGTTGTTGTTGTTGTTGTTGTTGTTATTCATTGTATTCGTCGAATCGATTGTCTTATTCTTGGAATCATACAAGGTCACAAGACAACTCAATGCCAACAAGATGGTCCAAAACTGTGAGTGATTTTCAATGGGCATCTCAATCACCACATCTGCCAATGCATTGGGTGAGAGTTGATATTGATTCTCCAAATATTGAATGGCTAATAATTGAGATTTTGAGAGAGGAAATGGATTCATGACATCATCCACACTCACCAATAATCGAAGTGTTGAAAATACTCGAACATGATACTCGAAGGGATCCAAAAACATGTTTCTACCACATCGTTGTAAATATAATACTCTGAGAGAATGACACTCTCCAATGACATTCAAAACACCTTCTTGTTCACTTGTGGATAGATCATTATCTCTCAAATCCAAATAGTGTAATTTTCTTAAACTTTTGAATAGTCTTCGATCCAATTGTTTAATAGAATTTCCTCTCAAATCCAAATGAATCAAGTTTTGAAATTTCGTCAAGATTTCAAAGTTCAATAAAATCAATCCTTTGAAATTTAAAGTAATACTTGTTGTGGTATTGGCATGTATATATTTAGATTCATTGAGAATTAACTCTAATCGAATGGTTTCTAATTCATGTCTAGTGACTTGTTTGGAAATGGATTCACATCTCTCACTCACACTCACATACAGTCCATCCAATACAAATGACCATTTTGGATTTCTAGATGATTTCAATAATGAAATTAATCTTCTTCTTGATGAGATGTATTCATTAGAACATTCGACAATGGATGGATTCACTAATAGAACTTGTTCCATATCATTCAATGAAACATTCAATTGAGCTGGTGACATGATTTGAGTGATGAGAGGACCATCTTTCTTTTTGAGACATGGATTATAAATTAAATAGAGTTGATTGAGAGTATTCATCTTTTCATCAATAAATTTAGAGATTGTTTCTAAATGTTCAATACAATTATGTTGAAGATCTAATTGTTCAATAGGAGTGTGATAGAGACCACTACTATTGAATGCATGATCATTAATGAGATTATTACGTAGTGATAGTTTCTTTAAATTCACAAAGTCAGTAAAATCTACATGTTCTAATTTGGAATTCGATAAATCTAATGAAACAATTGTATGAGATTGAATGTTGATTCGAGATAGATCAAATTCTTGAATGGCTTGAATATATTTTCGAAATAGACAATGTTGAAATCTAAAGAGTTTCTTGTTCGAATGTTGTTGAGTAGGAACAACAACATTTTTGTCTGTCTCTGGGAGTGGCCAATAGTTCATGATTTCATCAATAGTAATTTCTTTTTCATCAATTTCCCAAAATGGGCAGTAAATATTTGCCAATCGAGGTGTTCGAGAGATGATGGCTTGTCTGACTTGTTGTTCTGACATTTTTGGATAATTTGCATCATCATTCTCATCAGGTGGAGAATAAACACCTAAACATTCCAAATATATATTTTGATTCACAATGAAAATTAAATCCTCCAAATCTGTTAATTTGTTATTTCTCACATCAAGTACTCTCAAATATCTCAATGATAAAATTCCACCACATGATTTAGATAATCTTTCACAGAATTGATTTCCACGCAGTAATAACTTTTCAACACGAGGTACTTTGGAGAGAAAATCTCCCAACACATTAATACCAGATTCATTCAAATTAATTTCAGTGATTGAGAGTGGATCTTTCTTATTGTATCCTTTTTCATCAATCATTCGTTGTAATCTTGCTTCCATAGACATGTCCATTGGTGATGAGGAACGTGATGCTTTTTCTTCCCAAATCATTTGTCGTTCTTGACTTGTAATTTTAGTGTTAAAGATGACCAATTTGGGATTGACTTGGAGGAATGACAAGAAGATGAAAACTTTCATACTCAACACTTACCATCAAAATCTGTTAAATTCAACTCTTTCAAAATCTTTAGTTTGTAATTCTTGTGCTTTTCAATTTCTAGATTTCCATGAATAGAGATCATTTCCAAATCAGTCATTCTATTAATGAGATTCACAATATCTACGAGCTTGTTAGAAATATTATTATATCCTAAATCTAAATATTTCATTGCACAACATTTTTGTAATCCAATATCTAATATATTATTAATCATATTATGAGATAAATCTAATAGAGTCAAATTAATGAATGGAGATAAATCAGTTCCAACATCTTTCAATCCACAATCTCGTAAATATAATTTTGTAATTCTTTGAGGATCATATAATTTACCAGGAACAATATCTCTATAAGATAGTTTCACCTTATCAGTGAATGGATTGGTCACCACTTGTAAAATGATACTCAAATGATATCTATATTTGAGTTCTTCAATTTCAGATAAATCACGTAATTCCTTAATCACTCGAGATCTCTCTACAACATCAATTCTAATATTATCTAATACAAGTAATTTGTCATTCTTATCTAAAAGTATTTTTAGAATGGAAAATCTTCTCACAAATTCAGTGCTAGAATTGTAATAGTGAGGATTCAAAATTAAGGATGATGAATTGAGAGCAGAAGAGGCTACTGGTGAAGATTCCATCTTGTGAGGAGATGAGGAATGAATCAATTCATTACTGACATTGCTGTTGGAGCGTTGATGCTGAGAATCACCAATCAGACTCAGAGAAGAACTATTTAAGGATTGATTCAAACATTGACCTTCTCGATTACTACTCACTCCATAGGCATGAAATTGTACAACTTGAGTCAAATCGGTTGCCAATGAAACATGAATGAGAGAGGATAACTTTCCAAGTGCAGGAGTGATTTCATCTCTATTTAGTTTTGGATTTCCTGAAACATCAATAAATCTTAAATTCTTCAATTTCTCTAATCCAACAATTTTCAATAAATTATTTCCATGTAAATCGACATATTCAAGAGATACAAAATAATTCAAATCTGCAAATGTTAAATGACAATCTGATAACACAAGTTTGGTTACAATGGACATGAATTGACCATTACATAATTTTCTCAATTGATGATGTCCATAATGATTAATGAGATTATAATTCCATCTCAATCTTCTCAAATCATCATCTGTAACGGATGGAGAATACATCTTGATGGCCTTCAATCGATGATCTATGGTAATGATGGTATCATCTAATTCTAATAACCCAACAGTTCGATTATCTCCTTTTAAATTAATCGTGAGATAAACCACATAGTACCAAATTCGATCCGAATCTTCAGACGAGTTTTCATCAGAGGATTGATTTGAAGGAGTGGTGGTAGACTTTTGAAATGGATTTTCACAAATCCATAAATATCTCAACGATGGAATATAGGTCAATACATTCAATTCCAATTCATTGGAGAGGTGATTGAAATTTACATTGAACTCTTTCAACTTGTCCAATCTCTCTAATCCACAACCAACAATTGTTTTCAATTGATTATTTGATACATCTAATTTACATAAATTAATCATACTTCCAACATGTATTTCTGAAAGTTTAGCATTGGATAGAGACAATACTGTAATACTCTCAGGTTGCCATGATTCTAATTGTAAGGATTCACACAAGTTGTTCATTCTTTCATCCCATCTTAGAAATGAAAATGTGCTCTTACTTGTTGCACTTCCATACAAATCATTACAAAGTTCCTTTTCTCCAAATAAAACAGTTTGTCCATTGAATGAAATAATCCTTGGACAATTTCCAATGAGAATTTGTCTATAACTTGGAATCTTTTCTAATGGATTGTCCATCACCACTAAATGTTCAAGAAATGGTGATTCTTTCAACATGGGTGTCATTTGTTCACATGATGCAATGAGATTGAATCGTACATCCAATACTCTGAGAAGAGGTAATTTGATACCCACAAGAGAATCGAGATACATATTTCTCATAACCAGAACACAGCAATATTGAAAGGAGGAAATCTGAAATAAGAGATGAATTATAAAAGAAGAGAGATTTTTCAGAGTTCAAATTTAAAAGATTTTGTAGAATCCAAAGAGAGGTTAAGATTATCATCATGTTCCTATCAACACACTTACTCTTTGATGAAATTTCTCTGTTTTCACTCTTATATTCTCCAATACAATCTTTTGAATATTCAATGGTGCAGCACTATATAAATCTTCAGGTCTATTCAAAGTTTCTGTTGGTAAGAATTGATCAAATCGTTTTAATGGTGGTAAATGTGGCATGTATTTCGAAGGAACAAATAATTTGAATCTTGTTTTTTCATCATTCATTCGAATTTGATTGTACTTGTTCACATCAACATGTTTGGGATGAAGACCTGATTGAGGTTCTGTTTTGAATCTTGGTGGATCAGGAATGTATTGATAAATATCCTTTGGAGTTACTATTGAATGATCAGAACCATTGAATGATCAAAACAATTAATTGAATGGTCAGAACAAGAATGATCAGAACCATTGAATGAACATTTGTTTCAATAATGGTCAGTGGGATGTGCAATAATGTTGAAGATGGCATTTCTTGATAAGAAATACAACTTACAACTCAAAGTAAGAGTCATGGGAGGTGGTATTTGTTTCACCATTTCAAATATTTCCTTAAACTTGATATTGGCTGATACCTGCTTCAATTTCAATCGTTTGCACCTGAAATAATCGACACAATCTCTATTGTTGCTGCTACTGCTCGTTAAATTGGATGGATCATCATCACTTCCAGGTGAGATGTATTTTGCATTAAAATTAGTCATACATTGTTCTCCCTCATGAAATGAAATGCCATTCTCAAGTGTGCGTTGGTCTTCATGAGGTGTAGAATGGGGATAAGTTTGAAGTGAATGGGTACCTTGGAGGAGGGGTGATGAGGAGTTACCACCACCATTACGACTACCAGAACTCGTCAAATCATGATGATTCATCATGTATTCATCATCTCCAGACTCTGAATTGGATGTAAGCGAGCTGATACTAAGATTGAGTAAGTTGTTGGTGTTGGTGTTGGAACGGTACTCTTGAGGCTCACAATTATTGTGCGCATGAATGGTTGGAGTGGTGGGAGGTTGGCGGAGTGGAGAAGAAAGGCTGCGATTGTGGGTGTGGTGGTGGTTCTGGTGGTGGTTCTGGTGGTTATAAAACATTTTTTAAGAAGATAAAGGAAGAGCCTTAATTGTGGACCAACCGCGCTTTCAGCTTGGATTTGAAATCGAACTTGACCCAAAAGAGGTGCTGTGATCTTGGTGTAGGAGGAACATTGCACTGCTGTCAGCAGTTGGTGAACCTTGGTCGATGATGATGGGCGAAGATACCTTTAAATCGAAACTCGCCTCGTGTCAATCCGACCAGAACACAACAGAATATTTTTTAAAAAGAAACTCTCGAACCATCATCACCATTCTTCGCAACATCATGTCATCAACTACCACCACTTCTACTTCCGCATTCCAACAACAACCCTATAGCAATAACAACAACAACAACAACAATTCTACCACTATCCTCGACTCGACCACCACCACCACCACACCCACTCTCTACAGCTTCGCACTCCGAAAAGCTCTCTCCTATTATTATAAAGCCAATCAACACATTCGATACTACTTGCCCTATGCTTCTGAATTTGGAGCCACTCAAATTACACCCAACTTGTGGCTGGGTGATATTTCGGATGCAATGAATGTGCCACATCTCAACAAGAATTCCATCTCTCACATTGTAACATGTGTCAAATCATTGAAACCATTCTATCCCGAAGAAGGATTCAATTATTTAAATTTACATTTATACGATCAAAGTGATGAATCGATTGGACATGAAATATTTCAAGAATCCTTTGAATACATTGATCAGGCGATTCAAAATGGAAATAATGTACTTGTGCATTGCATGAAAGGAAGATCACGAAGTGCATCCATTCTCATTGCTTATTTGATGAGAAAGAATGGATGGACCTATCGAGAGACTTTGAAATTTGTTCAACAAAAGAGATCTATTGTTCAGCCGAATGAAGGATTTGAACGTCAATTATTGGAATTGGAAAAAAAGTTGTCAAGTTTGCAAAATTCATCAAATCTCCAATCGATAGATGATGATACTGTGGAGTGGTCAAGGTGATGGGTGGTCCTATTAGATGATTCATTTGTGATACCTTTCTCATAGAGTCGTGATAGAGGTTGCTCATTGCATTTTTAAATGTCCATTATTATTTAAAAGTTAGAATTTGTCACAAACAATCACTGAATAAAAATTGCAAGTACTATCGAATTCTTGCAACCACCTTTATATCTTATCGCTCTCATATTTCAGATGCCACAACCGTCTTCATCGTCCACCGTAACTACTACTTCGTCCTCCTCTTCCTCCTCTTCATCATCATTACAATCAACACCATTGCGATCACTCACCACAACCTCCCTCTTGTCAAATTCCAATTCATCAATCATGAATGTTCTTTCTCAACAACAAAACTCTGCATTATATCTCAATGATCCTTTATTGATTGGTTCCGAAGTAGATTTGGAATTAAATCGAGAAGAATTGTTTTTAAATGCAGGACTTCTCTCGAATTTATCCTTTGTTCAGAAATGTTTTGATCACAAACAAGATTTATATCCAATTCATATGGAAGATGCTGTATGTGTTGTTTTTATTTGGTGAATGTGACACACTTGAATGTCGCATAATGATCATTCCTAATAATAATACTACAATTATTTATTTCCCATCGATCAACTATTATTCATTTTAAAATAACATTTAAATAACATTCCAACTACATTCAAATAATTATTTATTTTAATAATATAATACTTCAATTATAAACACTAATTGAATACGAATAATATAATACTTCAATAACACTAATTGAATACGAATTGATTCATTGAATTCAAATAATTTCCCATCGATCAACTATTATTCATTTTAAAATAACATTTAAATAACATTCAAATACCATTATTCCAACTACTATTCAATTTCAAACACATACCATTCAAATACCATTCAAACACATACCATTCAAATACCATTCAAATAACATTCAAAAAGAATGCTCTTCATCATGCTTGTAAATGGGGTAATGTTCACATTGTGAAATACTTGATATCCAAAGGAATATCGATCAATGCAAAAGATTCCAATGGAAATACTCCTCTTCATTTATCTTGTGAAGAAGGATATTTAGAAATTGTAAAATTATTAATCTCACATCCCTCTATTTGAAAAATAAGAATTGTCAAACGCCAAGAAGAAAGGCACAAATAGCAGGACATGATTGTGTGCTTTCATTGATTGATAAATTTATGGGAAATATTAATGTATGTTGTTGATGATGTTGTATTCATATCATGATGAAATTCATGAATTTGCATTCCTTGCTCTTTGCATATGATCATAGTTAATGAAAGATCATTTAAAGAATCAAGTGATTGATCGTGATGCTTACTATTCCAATTACAAATTAAGTGATATTGATATCATTGTAACATCAAAATATTGAGAACTGATTGATCAATCTTGGAACAAAATAGAAGTATGAATCAATGAATGAATCAATGAATGAATCAATGAATGAATTGACAAAGACACTGATTGGAATGAATAGGGGGTCTTTTTCATCATGGGACAATCCAAACATGATCATATTGATGACATGCATCAAGGTATCTCTTGTATATGGTCAATACCACCATCCAATGATATTGGACATTTCTATGACATTTCGATCATACAGATGTGTTGTTACGTTGTATGTTGTTGACAAACATGTTAATGTTCACACACACACACACGCGCGCACATGTGTGCACACTCGAGATGTGGCCACAAGTCTGGTTTGGCGCCTATCATCATCCAATTCGAATTATTGACGCACAACTGAGGAGAGCAATTTCCTCGAAAAGAAGAGTAGGTCAGATCGAGCATCGTATATCATTGGCCATCATCATCCAATAATAATAATTGTTAGATACACCCGCTTTTGATTGTACAACAGGTTAATGGTTCATGATGGTTCATGATCATTCAAGTTACTCAGGCGGTAATTTGTGTGCAAACTGACAGACAACCTTCATACAACTTTGATCACACACACACACGTACACATCTGTGAAGAGAATCTCATCAGAGAGAGGTTGTGATGATACGTTGTGATGTCGTTTGTGTTTTCACATTCGCGCCCTGTTTACGAGCCTTATGAGCGGCAGTTATTTTTACAATTTTCACAACACAAAAAAACAACTCTACACGAACATTGTTTCCTATTCAAACTCTCTCTTTCGGAATACAAAGAGCAGCATTCCCACCACTTACACAAGAAGTGAATCATTACCAAGCTCAACGTGAACCAACAACACCAATCAACAACAAGAGACTATTCACATCACCACCATTTCTCAACCGCATTCAATCTTTTAAAATGAAGAAGGTAATTCTCGACAAGGTTCGATGTCCATCACCAACCACTCATTGTACCACCACTCTCTTGCATACCTCTGGTGAAATTTTGCCTTTCCCATCCTCCTCCTCCTCCACAACTGTCATTTCAACCTCCTCTTCATCACCTTTGGCATGTTCATCATCATCCTCTCCAACCGAAGCGACCACAACAAGGTCAAGCCTTAATTCACCACCAACACCACTCAGCATGCTGACAAGCCTTTCATTCTCCGCAGAACCCGCCAACAATTCTTCTCTCACCACAACGGACATGCCGCCAATTCCTATTGCCGCTCGTCGAAACATGCAACCGTCCTCTTCCAACACTTCCATGTTGACGACTACTGTTCTCTTAATGCAAGGCTCATCGATGGATCTCATGATGAATGATGGTGGCTTCAATGAAACAACTAGTCTTGGCACTACTACCACCTTACTCAATACTACTCAAGAAGCCTCTTCGAAACAAGCTGTGCGCACTCGAAAGATCCTGAAGAGATCCTCACCCACAACCAACAACTCCTCTTCTTCTTCTTCTTCTGTAACTTCTCATCCCAACAATCCAACCGTCATTAGTATTCATCTCTCTCCAAGTACCCCTAAAGGAGCTATTCATGAATCTGCAGAGGAAAGTTACAACATGGATGAGGAACAAGATGATGCTCGTGATGCATCCTCTCACGATGAAAAGGATGCTGATTTTGTGTTGGATCAAATGGATGAGACTGATGAAGAAGATGCAGACGATGATGATGAATTGGAATTAATGATGGACGATGATGATGAAGAGTATACTACTACCACGACACGTTCTACTAAGGCTAAAAAGCAACAACAAAAGAAGAAGAAGAAGAAGAAGCAAACTTCAAGCAAGAGAGGAAAGAAATCAGCATCTTCTCCAGCAGCAAGTTCGACTACTACTACTACTACTACATCTACTACTACTACTACTACAACTATGCACAACAACACTCCAGCACAGAATATTGACACATTGGATGCTTCTCAAACCACTCAAAGCATGTGCTGCCTTAAAGGATGTGATCATCCCATTAGTAATCGATTAAGATTCTCATTGAGAGTGTGCAGTGAAGATGACTTTAAGAGTGATTATGTACAAAGAGGCTTCAATTGGGTGTGTAATTATCACTACTTCCATGATTTGTACTTGTACAAGAAGAATCAAAAGGGAGATTCCAATGCAACCGTTTCTAACCGAAAGAGAAAGTCAAGTAGTTGCACCAAGAAAAAGATTGCCTCGAACTCGTCGTCGAACAGTTCAACGAGTACAGCGAATGCCAATTCCACTACAACAGCCACCACCACCACCACCACCACTACTACTACCTCTGTAGAGAATGTTAACACTGCCTCAGTGCAGCAAGCAACCACCAACTTGGAACCATCGAGTGCTCTCTTGCAAATTGTTTCAGCCTCTCTCGAAGAAGCTAATACTCCTAATGGTTCGGAATTGAGTCAACTCTTACAACCATCACTCTCTTCTGAACCTCAAGATGCTGCAAATAAGAGAAAGAGATCAAACTCGAATGCATCTTCTCCAAGCAAGAAGAAGAAACAACACAATGTTGGTGGAGCTGTATTGAACACTTCCACAAACATTTCACTCTCTGGAACCAGTGCACCTGCAATTACACTTTCCTCAACGATCCTCTCAATGTCTCCTGCGACCTCACAAAAGACCATTTCACCAACCAAACCAGAAAGAAAGAAATCTTCTCCAAAGAAACCTTTGAAGATTGATGTCTCTGCTAATACTCTTCAAGTAGTACCATCAAACAATATGTTTGTGCAACCATCACCTGTGCACACCGATGATGTGATTGCACTCATTAACTTTGTATCTCATGCAAATCAATAAATATCTATATATGTATATTCATTTTATGAAAAATGTATGTACATGAACTCACATCCACTTTACTTTGGGTACATTTGAACTCTTGAAGGAGTTTTTTGAGAGGCGAGTTGTGGTGGCTGTTCAATGACTAAATGATCATAGTCACTTTCTAATGAGTCTCATACATCTCTCTCAGAGATTTGTTACAAATAATTCTTAACAATGGATTCAAATTGGGTTGCAGTCACCGAGTTGGCAAAGTTCTTGATATAATTAATTCCGTTATCTTCAGCATTGGCTAATTCTGGTTCAATTGGTATAGAACCCAAATATTGAATGTTATATTCAGAACATAATTTCTTTCCACCTCCACTACCAAATATATATGTAATTTCTTTACAGCATGGACAAACATAACCATTCATATTTTCAATAATTCCTTTGATAGGAATGTTCAACTTTCTGCAAAATGTAATCTCCCTACTCACATCCACAGTACTCACTTGTTGAGGAGTGGTGACAATGATTGCATAAATATTGGTCGAAATAGGTATGGAAGATGAAACAATTGGATCATGCTGCTGTTGTTCTTGTGCGATAATAAATGATAAATCTCTCAAAATTTCACACAATGTAATATGTTCATCGCTCGTACCAGGAGGAGTATCAATAATCAAATAATCTAAATCTCCCCAATTGACATCTTCAATAAATTGTCTAATCATGGCATTCTTTTTAGGTCCTCTCCAAATCACTGCATCATCTTTATTCTTTAATAAAAATCCAATGGACATGCACTTGACGTTAGGAGCTGATGGAACTTGTACAGGTGACCATCCAATGTTGTTGTTGTTATTAGTGGTGGTATTTGTGGTATTTGATGTCGATTGAACAATTTCACATCCGGTTAAGCCCAAAATACCAGGTACTGAAGGACCACAAATATCAACATCCAGAATACCAATGTGTTGATCGGGATGCAAGGATGCAAGTGTGAGTGCTAATTGGCATGATGTTGTGCTTTTCCCAACTCCTCCTTTGCCAGAGAGTACAAGTATCACGTTTTTAATGTGACTGAATCGTTCTTGAATGAGCGCAGTTGAAGTGGACATTTTTTTGCATGAAAACGGGGTGCATTGAAAGCAGTGCGTGTTGCAGGCCTTCAACAAGAGTCGTCGTCGTCGTAGAATTTCATAGAACAGGTCCTTGTTCATTCTCTAATGAGAGGAAGTCGCGAGTCTCCACCACCATGACAACAACAATAACCCCAAACAGAGTTTAAATAATCCAACAAGCGCTTGGGCAATGTCTTTGTGAGCAGAATTTGAAAAAAGAAAACCTGTTATGGCCAGACTTGTGTTTTATCATTTATCGACATCTTCTCCAGGAGGAGTTTCAAGAGGATTCACAATAATAAGAAAACTAAGATGAATAAAACGAATCTCTTTGAGTGAACCATTGAAAGTACATTGACCGTTGGATTGTTGTATCCAGGACTGGGAAATAATTCCCAAATTGTGGATACTTTGTTTGCAGCAAGTCTTGTGGTGAGTGGAGTGGCTTTCATGGCTGTGATGGATGGAATCATGTCGAAAACGAATCAGAAATCGATTGTTGTTGACTAGGTCATTCACAATAAAGTGATTGTAAAAATCCAATAAAAGAGATTTAATGTATCAATTCAGATTCATCATCATGAATAATATATCATGGTGGTATTGAATTCACGTGCGTGTACGAGGTCTTGAACAGTCGAATATATGAGAGACATTAATGACACCTATGAGTGTGTTTACTACTGATTAATTTTCATATTAAAATGCTTCTCAATACAATCTTTCAACTTGGTACTAAACTCAACTTGTTCCTCTTGGGATGAGAAAATATTAAATTCCAAGTGAGGATTGATAAGATAATCCTCCTTCTTATAGGGTCTATTGGAGAGTTTCTTCTTACTCAGAATACCGCATGCAATGACACAATCACGAAGAGAACTCTTTTCAACACTATCCATCATTAAATGTTGTGATGAAGAAGAGATGGATGAATTCATCAATTTTTGAGCAGCATGGTATGCAAGAGCACCAAGCACTGGAGATGATTTCTCTTCATCAGAATTCACTCTTCTCAAATATTCATTATTCATTTCATCCAAAGACTTTCCAGCAGTAATCTTTTGATAATCCATTTGCAACAACTTGGAAAGTGAATCTGTTGAATTTGGATCTGACTTGACAATTGTATGGATGGTCGTCAAGTATTGCATTTTCAAGAAATGTACTCTATAGTCAAGTGGAGATAATTCGAGTGCCTTCTTCAAAGCTTTGCTAACCAACAAGTACTTTCTGCTCTTTAAATAGATGGTCATGGCAAAGATTTGTGTAATAAGTTCGTTTGGATGATATTCTTCTAATTGTTTCAAATATTTAGTGCATTCATCAAATAAATTCAATTTGGTGGTAATGTAGAGACCATTCAAATCTTCATCCTTTCTCAAATCAATATTTTGGAAATTGGAAGTATACGAAGCATTAATAGTACCATAATCGGTAGGAGAATCGAATGGAATATTCTGTTCTTGCTCCTTCTTTCTCAAAAGTAATAAATAAATGTTTAACAAACCACAGATGGCATGGAAATAGAAATGTTGAGCATATAACTTTTCAAAATATCTCATCATTTCAATATAGGATCGCATGGTAACCTTTCTTGCACAGTATGTATGGAAATCAAATTGATCTTCATAAATTTCCATAAAGTGTTGAACCACATAGTAATATTGACGAGCAGCAAGTGCAAGTTCTCCTTTTCTAAAGTGAGCATCTGCACACTCATTTTCAAACCACATGCATTGCATGTCATGAACATTGTTACGATGATAAATTGCAGAATCTTCAATGGGAATGAGATTGGAGTCTTTCTCTTCCTTGGGTTCTTCCTTTTTAGTTTCATCATGACTTTCTTTTTTCACTTCATTAACATCTTTATCTTCACCCTTTTCTAAGTGTTTTTGTTGTTTCAACTTTTCTTCCTTCTTTGCATTTGCATCTTTTGGATGCTTGGCGAAAATACCGATCAGGTCATCTGCTTTAACAATTTCATTGTGTCTCATCCAGTACTTGGTTGCTTTGGTATTGAGATAACGATCGGAGAGATCCATTTTACGAGCTTGTTCCATACACAATGCAGCTTGTTCAGTGTCGAATAAATGTTTGTAAAATTTAGCTTTCAACATGTATGACTCAACAAGAGTGGGTGTATGTTCAATGGCTTGATTGATGTAATCAAGAGCCTTATGATAATCTTGAATGGCATCAAAATGTTGTGATAGATAAACCAAAATCCACAACAACACAGATGGATCCTTTGAAGAGGTGTTGGATTGCTCTTTTTGTAATCTTTCCATCATCACTTTTTCAATGATTGAAACTTTGTGAGATTGTTTCTGATAGATAATCTTCAATGTCTTGAAGAGAGATGGAATAGTCTTGAACAAGTAGGGCTCCACAAAGTTAATCAAATGTTCTCTGAATGCGTCTGAGGAAGATGCTTCAGAACTGCCATATGGAGGTGCCAATAAGAGAATAATCATTTTCATCACTGGTGATTTTTCTCTGTATTCTTTCAATGCTTCATCGGTCGTGTACAATTGGTACAATTTGGCGGCAATTTCTTCGTTGGACTTTCTTGTTTGCTCACTCTGACGATCATCAAGAAGGAATCTGTTTTCCTCTGTTGAAAATCCGCATGCCAATTGATACTTTCCATAATAGGCATAATTATCAGAATTTGTCTTTAGCAATTGTAAATAAATCTTCTTTGCATTTTCCAATTGATTCAATTTGATATAACATTCGCCTAATCTTTCCAATACAGAAATTTGGTCAGCTAAAAATGCAGAGTTTTTGATCAAAGTATCAACACACTCCTTGTATTGGCCATTCTCATAATGCAATTGAGCCAAGTAGAGTAACATTTCGGATTTTTCAAATTTGTAAGTCTTTGACTCTCGATGAGCTTGATCAAAGACAGCAGACAAGAATTTGTCCACAGTTTGAATAGCTCCTGCTAAATTTCCATGTAAATGTTGAGCTAAAGCATAACCAATCCAAAAGGCACTAATGCCAGGTTTCAACTCTAACAACTTTTTCCTACTTTCAAGAGCTCCCTTGTAATCTCTTGCATGAATTTGAACATTGCTCAACTCACGCCAAGCTTGAACTTCATTGACAGGATTAAATTTCATCGAGTTCTGGAAGCAAGTAATGGCTTGAGAATATTTAAAATCGTCCTTGCACATGAGTCCATAAACATGCCAACAAATAAATGACTTGTTGTTTACCAGCTCCAAAGCCCTCTTTACAGCATTGTAGCAATCCTTCTTGTATGTCTTGTCAATAATCATTAATTCCTGTTGTTGAGAGGAATTACTAGATGAAGCATTGTAGTAAAAACCTGTATTGAAATGAGGTTGTTTGTTAATCTCTTGCTCTTTGATATATCTAGTCAATAAAGCCTTCATAGCCAGAGTATCTCCGTGCTGTGGATGGTCTCTGAGAATACTATCGGCAATAGATATCGCTGTTTGATATTGTTTTTCTTCATAGGATTTAATCATATTACGGAATAAAGCCTCTGCTTTTGATGAGAGTTGTTGAGGCGGAGCTGATGATGATGAGGATTGAGCATTGGATGATGATGTGGTGGTGGCTGATGAAGCCTTTGCAGGTGCAGCAGTCTGAGTACCTTTCTTTTTGGTCATTTTTTTTTCAAATTTTCAAAAAACACAAAAAAACCTTTTCTCTCTGACAACCCTCAGACTTTGACACACGAATTGAATTCTTTTAATGAATCATTGCTTTCTCTCTTTCGGAACAATCTATAAACATTAAAACATTGTTTTTTGGACAATCATTGAAATATCACAACAATACAAAATTTAAATTCAAATTATTAATAATTTAAAATTATTAATTACTTTAAATTATTGGAAGAACAAAACAACCCCATCATCATCATGACACACAAGAATCCTTCATCTTCATCTTCTTCAATTCTTCCTTCTTCTTTCAAACTCTCCAATGTTCCTGTCATTAATCAATATGAAATTGGTCTTCCCACTGGATGTGAAGCTACTTCTCTTGCACAAGCTCTTCAATATTTGGGTTTAAATGTTTCACCCATACAAATTGCCACCATGTTGAAAAAGGAACCCTTCATGTTTCAATTACCACTACCAACCTCATCATTGAAGAGTCGAGATAATGACCATCCTACGAGTATCACCAATAATAACACTAGTCGATCAGATGATGGTGGTGTTGTCATCACTGACAGTCATCCTACGAGTATCACCACCACCACCATGAATGATGTTTGGTATGGTGGAAATCCGAAGAGAGCATTTGTGGGAAATCCATTCAGTGCTGTGGAAGGTATGGGGTAAGTATTAATACTAATACTAATACTAAAAGGAATCGTTTTCGTGACAATTAATGACTGTCATTGTTGACCATGTACATGTATGGTTCTCGCTTGTTCTTTTTTTGGAATGAATGGTTCTTGTTGATGATGATGATGATGATGTGTGTGTGTGTGAATATAGAGTCTATGATGAACCACTGATTGAACTTGTCGATCACTTTTTCATTCCCATCCTTAAGAAACTTTATTCGATCCATCCTTACAATGGAAATGTCAATAACAAGGGTTCTATTAATGATGGTCCTAAAAAAGTGGTCAAGGGTGTGAAACGATTCCTCCCCCCAACTCTGGAATGGAATTCAAAGAACAATGCTCTCGAGAAGAACCATTTTCAATCCATTCTTGAATACATGTACATTCATCAAGTACCTGTGGTGATATGGTGTACCTTAAAGATGAGAGAATCTTTTCACAATTCACATGAAACATGGATGGATTATTTAAATGAGGAACATTGTATTGAATGGAAGAGTCCTGAACATTGTGTAACATTGATTGGATTTGAGAATTACAATAATAGTAGTGAAAACAAGAGTGTTGAGAAGAATGAGAAGAATGATTCTTCTTCTCTACCATCTGTCGTTATTGTCAATGATCCAGATTATGGATGTGAAATGAGATATGATCGAAAATTATTTGAAAAAAGATTTGAGGAAATGGGAGGAATGGCATTTTCATTTGAATTTGATGAATGTCCTCTCGATCAAAAAAAGGAATCACTACTCTAAAGTCTTTGTAAGAATTCTAAGGTCATCATTCATCACTCTCTTAAATTCAAGAACTTGCTCATCCTATGAATGGGTGCCTCTTCTTCCACAAAATAATGATCCATTCCTTTGAAATGACCATCTCTTACTTCATATCGATTACTGAAATAACACTTTTCACAGAGCACATATTGCAAACACTTATTACAAGTGTATCGAAATCTTCCAGTAAATGCAACTCGTCTGCATGCTGTACATTCTGAATGATAATGAATCCATTGAGAGGGTGAATCATGGAGTACATGTTTCAATGCGAGTTCAACATGTTCCCAATCAATCTCAAAACTATTATTATTATTACTATTATTATTATTACTATTATTATTACTATTATTATTAGTATTACTAACAGTGGTGTCATATTCATCTCCCAACAAGACATTTGCGAGTTTCAAATAGTGAACACAATGTTTAAGGGAAGCAAATGAGTAGTTTCGTGTACTCTTACACGTAGTGTTGTTGTTGTTGTTGTTGTTGTTGGTGGTGGTGGTGGTGGTGGTGCTAGTACTTGGCATGATTTCATTTCGAATGTCTTGATGTAGTATTGATGGTGATACTAATGCTGATACTACTACTGATGGTGGTACTGGTGGTGGTGGTGGTGATAGAAGAACACTCTCCTCACCACCACCAGAATTATCATCCATCTTGCTCCTCCTTCTCTCAACAACAATATATTTCAATGCTGAATGACCACAGTAATACATGAGACCTAACATCATGAGTACTTGCTGATCATGCTTTTCTGCACACTCCATCATGTAATACATGGCTTTTTGATCATTTCTCTCCATTCCATAGAGTCCAAACAAGTATATTTGTGCTAATTCTCTCATGGCACAAACATAATGACGTTGAGCACATTTCACCAAATAGTCAATACCTTGAAAGACCATGTGATAATGATGGTGATGACTATTTGATGTTTCATACAGAGAATCCTCATGGTTGTCATCATGACATCGACTTGAATCACCAATATGATTACTATTACTTTGACCACCACCACCACCACCAATATGATTACTATTACTTTGATCAATACTACTTTGACTATTACTAGTATTAGAATGACTAGTATGAATATTAGAATGACCACCACCACATGGCACATGTTGTCCTTTCAAATACAACATTCCCAATTTGGTCAAAGTGAGATCATGATGTTGCTTTGCAGCCAAATCATAATATGCAAGTGCTTTTCGTTCATCTTTCTCCACACCCATTCCATTGAAATATAAATAACCCAAAGAGAGTAATGCCACAGGTGCATTTTGTTTTGCCGCTAATTCATAATATTCATGAGCGAGTTGTAAATTCTGACAAGTTCCATATCCCAAATAGTACAAATAGGCTAATTTGATCAGAACAGCAGGATCATGATTTTTTGCTGCATGTTCAAAATATTGAAATGCTTTTTGTGAATCTTGTTCTACAAGTATACCAGAAATATAGAGTTGACCCAATTCTAACAATGCATCAACATCTCCTAATTTGGATGATTCTTCCAAATATTCAATTCCTTTTAAGGTATTTTGTGGAACATTTCCACGTAGACTCATCATTCCCAAGAAATAGTAGGCATCCTTATCAGATTCTTTGAGTGCTGATAATTCAAAGTATCGAAATGCCTTTGCATAGTCTTGAATGATACCATCTCCTCCATTGTAATACTTGTAACCTGCATTGTAAAAGGCACATGGTGAGAAAGAGCAAAGAGATAAATCCAATTTCCTTAATTGTGAAATGCTTGAATCAATCATGATCACTTCTTTTCCACCTCCAGGTATATAGAGTCGTATTAAATTTCTCAACTTGTCACTCTGAGTCAATGCTTTCACTCCATTCACTGTAATGCTATAATTACTTTTTAAATTTAGAAATGTTAAATGTGTCATAAATGGACTTGAAGCAATGAATTGAACTCCTTCATTTCCAATCACATTCGATTCCAATTCAAGTGTTGTTAAATGTTTCATATATTCACTCGTGGCAATGGCCTTCACTCCTTCATCTCCAATTTGATTTCCATCACAATTCAGAAATGTCAAATGACAGAATCGAGGATTTGAAGCAATGGTAGTGATGCCATTGTTTAGAATGTCACACCATTGGAGATTTAAAGATTGAATTTGAGTCAAATGTTCACTTTCTACTAAAAGTTTCACACCTTCACTGTAAATTTGGATTTGACCAAGATTCAATTCACAAAGTGTCTTCAAGAATCTGTTGGAAGAAATGTGTTTACAAATATTTTTGGCTTTTGGATTACCAGAGAGCGTTAAAATTTTGATATTCTGTGCGAATGGTCTCTGAATGATTGTTTTGAGTGCTTTTGAACCAATGTTACAATTTGAAAGATTTAGATTGGTCAAGTGTTTGAATCTGTGACCATTTTTAGCAATGACTTGAGCTGTCTTGAAAGTGATTTCATTTTCACTCAAATTCAATAAAGAAATATTTTGTACAACTTCACTTGAGAACAATACTTGCCAAGTGTCATGATTCAGTTTGTTACAACAATCTGATAAATTTAAACTTGTTAAATTTCTCAAATTAAAACAATGAGAGAGTAACTGAATGCGTTGATCCATGGAGTGATTTGTACTATTCTTCGGTACTTGATTTTCATCACCATCATTAGGACACGAAGTCTGTTGCATGACGACATCATGTCTTCTTCGAATGTTCTTCAATGAACTCCAATGAGAAAAATCCAATGAAAGAGGAATTTCCAATGATTTTCTATACCATTGATAGGAGACTTTCATACAGACTCGAAAGATGAATTCCGATTCGAGAAATTGCAAAATATGAAAGACCATATCATCTGCTAATTCATCAGATTGATTAAAGAAATATTCATGATCACCATGGTGGTTGAAGAGAGAGTGGTTGGATCTGATCATCATCACCTCTTTCTCACCATGAATGTCGTTCAACAAGTCCTTTTCCTCCAATACGAATTTCGGATCATCTCGATCGTTGTTGTTGTGGTTGATAGGAGGTGGTGGTGGTGGTGGTGGTGGTGGTTCTTGCTCAAGCTCAGCACGTTCTGCCATTTTTGTAATTAAATTATGAGCGAGCTTTTGGAATGCCTCTTTCAAGATCCATTCGTTGGAGAGGTCAGCGTTTTGATAAAAAAAAAAGTACTGGAAAAACCTGATGCAGTTCATTGTTCACTCCAGGCTTGGAGTTGTTCGTAAAATTCTGTTCTTTTAATGTCTTAAATTGGAAGAGAAGACTGAAGCTGATCGCTCTAATGATGTTGTGGTGTGCGCAATAGTCTAACAATTCTTGAAAGGTGAAATTGAAAAGGTTGTTCATGAAGAACGTTGAAGAGGTTTCTGACAGAGACTGATTAAAAAAAAATGACCAAATTTTCCTCTCTCAAAAATGCCATTCCTCGCAAAACCAAGAAGGAACGATCGCAGCCCAAATGGCGTCGGGAGTTGGGTTATGGTACTCTCGAAAAACATAAGGACTATAAAGTGAGATCCCGAAAGGCTCATCAAATAGAGGAGCAAAAGAAATTATTAAATGAACAAATCAAGAACAAAAATAATGAAGAATATTACATTGATATGGCTCATTCTCATAAAACAGACACTGGAACCACCATTGTTGAAAAGATTCCAACATTAAAGAAAAAGAAGGAAGCTTTAAATAATTTAAAAAAAACAAAGAGGGAACAGAGAATACATGTACAACAAAATGCAGAAAAGAATTTAAATCTGCTTAAAATGAAATTGCAAATTATTAATAACAATATTACTAAATTGAGAAAGAGTTTAGGATTCTTAGAATTGGCATCGAAAACAGACAAGAAAGTGAAACACAAAATTTTCCTAAAGTCTGAAGAAGATTTGGAAAATTTTGATCCTGTTGAACATTTTGATACAGATCCACATTTAATTACACAAACTCATAACAGAATTAAGAGAAAAACATTGGCAGAAATGCCCATCCAAAGTTATGCTCCAAATTCAGGAGCTGATGCTTACTCTACATCGACAACAGATAATGCAACTCTTGAAGCCTATAGAAAATTAGAAAAGCTTCTCTCAAAGAAGGAAGTTATTGAAAAAACCATCAATGATGTTGAAGTTGCATTGCAATTGACAGTTTCAAAGGAACAAATTGACACAATCGAAAGAGACAAGGAAACTACAAGGAAAAATCTGAAAGGAGATTATTCCGATGTAAAGACAATCAAGTTCAAGAAGGAAAGAAAGAGATGAGTGAACACTTGCAATGTTCTTTCAATAAATAATTTAATTATCTACAACATGTATAAAAAATGCTTAATTCGTGTCGGTTGGAGTTGTGGAAGTTGCTGGTGGTTCCTCTGTTGGCTTTTCTTCCTCTGTTTCAGAATCCGTGAGTGGAACCTCTTCGTCAACCTCTGCATTGTAAGAAGTTTCTTGTTTTTGAAGCTTTTGTTTAGCAAGTTCTGCTTCCTTCTTCAATCGTTCTTGTTTTTCTCTTTCCAACTCATGAGTTTCCTTTAAGAATTCACTTGTGAACTTATACCAAACATTACAACTGTAAAATTCAAATCCAGATCCAGACTTGGTATGAGTGGTATCAATGGAAACAACACGAATTCTGTGTTCGGTGTGGTTATTAATCCAGATTTGAGCCTCAGTTTCAGCTTTGGATTTAGCTTTTCTACATTCAAGAATTTCTGATGTATTTTCAACAAATCTATCAAAGGTTCTATTAAACAAATTTGTCTCAGTAACTTCAACATTATGAATTTGTTCGTAATTAACAATGGATTGTTGTAACTCTAAAATATCAATTTTAAGACCTGGCTTTACAATTTGCAAATCAATTTTTGCGACCACCTTTGTGTTGTTGACAATAGAAACAGTCAAGCTGTTGTAAACGTCACGTTGTTTGATGGCTCTCAAATCAATAAAACCCTCTCCTAAAGGAACGGAATTAACATCCGATGCTGCTCCAATATAACTCAATACAGAATTCAGTGAAGATTGTTGAGCTTCTTTTGAAAGAGGTACTTCCAAACTTGCAATGATTGCCAAACCCACTAATGACTCTAAATTAGGTAAGAAATAGTGATAGTCACTAAATGAGAATGATTTATCATTTGCCAATGGGAATGTGAATTGTGGGTGTTGAACAGTTGGAGGATTTGCTGGAATTAATTCACCATCTGTCATATTGAAAAATATATGGTAATTTCAATCACAATAACGTAATTCTGTAAATTACACTTACTAGCATCCTTCAAATAAATTTGTAATCGAATGAATTTAGGAAGGCCTTCCTTTAGTGCCTGAAGTATTTGCTTGTTATGGATTTCAGGTAATTCTACATTGTAAATACCCTTTCCGATAATTAAAATTTTGTTGGATGAGAGAGGTCTGTTCTTGATTTGAGGTGATTGTTGGTTACCCATAGTGCTTGTCTGGTAGTATTAATAATATCGGAGATGATCATTTATTTTCAAAACCAACTACCCACCTTTTTAAATTCGTTAAAACAGTTGAGTGCTGCTGTTTGAGTGGTGCTGCTGCACGAAGGCTTTTTCTCGATCAAGGAATTTTTTTGTGGATTTTTGTTGATGGACTTCGATTGGTTGGCTCTTAATGCACCGAAATGGAAATCCAAATAAGAGTCTCTTTGATAATTGAAACAAAGTATGAATATGCAAGTAACACTTGTCATGTCTTCTCTCTTCTTGTTCCCAATATTTAAAAAGTGAAAGTACAAGTAAAAGAGTCATTTTCACAGGAAGCTATTCAATCACAATGTGGAGAGTTTGTGATGGATGAGCTCAACTCTCAACTCTCGATCACACCTCTAAAAAATGATTCCGAATAGTTCTCAAGGGATGATGTTGTCACCATCCTCATCGTCGTCGTCCTCTACTTCTTCTTTGAGCCTTTCACGTCATGACTCAGTAACGCACTCCTCACAAGGCTCGTCTTCCTCTTTCCAACAACAACAACAACCATCATCATCACTCTCCTCAACACCAACACCACTCCTACCATCATCATCATTGAAAAAAGATCGGTTTGAATTTAAACTTGTCGGACACTTTCCCTCTCGTTTTGAAAACATTACATCCCAATGTTATCATTCCTCACAACAACTTTTAGTATTGGGAAGTGAGTTCGGAGAGGTAACATTTGTTGGAGGAGATGTTCATCATTCCATTCATATTTCAACGGAATACAGAATTGAGAGTATTCAATACGATGATGACTATCCAAAAACAAATTTCTATATTTTATGTAATCATCGAGAGAGTTCAACATTGAATTCCTCTATTTTGATTTGCTATGATTTTGTGAAAAAACAAATCACTCAACAAATTACTTTTCAACCCACTCAATACGTACAGGCTATGAAATTTTACAAATCTTATTTATTACTCACGATATTAGATTTCACCAACCCTAATCGGATAATTCCATATGTCAAGTACATGTCAACCTCAAATTTTAAATTTATTTCAACTCTTACACTTCTTCATCCAATGCTTGCTCAACAACAAACACCCATTCAACAACAACAACAACCATTCATCATCTCTGATTTAAAAATAACATTTGTTGAACCTCATCCTCAATATGATCATGTCATTGCAGTTGGATATTCAAATGGGGACACAATTATTTATTATATTTATCATGTTCAAAATACAAGTAATAATTTGGTATCTACCAATTTGAATTGTATTTCCATCCCAGCGAATGTGATGGTGACTTGTCTAAATTGGCATACTCCAACCATTCTAATTACAGGATATGGAAATGGAACATTTACGTTGTATGAAATTAATCATCCAACATTCCAATATTCAAAATATTATGAAATGAATATTCTCAAAGGATCCACCTCCTTTTTAACCTCTCTCAATCAATATATTATTTTTGGATTGAAATCAGATCAAGTGGATGCTGGTATTTATTATTTAAAAATGAATTACGAAATTAAATCGATCGAATTTATTAGAAATATTTGGTGTGAAGGAAATGATGTTCACAATATCATACCTATGAGATCAGTATTTGATCATTCATCCACACTCTCACTCTTTGCAAGTGTCATCTATGGGCCAAATAGAAATGTTCTCGTTTTAGATTTGTTGGAACGAATGGTCTATCAACAAAAGGAATTACAACTTTTTAACGTTGAGAAATATTCAGTTCTCACTCCATTCTATTCCATTAGAGATTTACAGTCTAAGAATGATCAATTTGTCATGTTGAAGGCCTCTAACATTGAATTATCTAATTTAATTTATAACACATGTCTCAATAATTATAACAATGAAACCTATCGAAAGAATATTCTTGAATATTACATGAGACCAGCCACTCGATGGAATATTTTAGGAATGAAACCTTCCCAATACAGAGTTGATGTGAACATTGACGATGATAATTACATCTTGGCTAAATTATCAGATACCGAATTAGGAAGTGCCATTGAATTATACCTATGTAAAACATACTTTAATGATGTGAGATATATTTACACTATTGGAAATCAATCCAATTACAAACTATTATGCAAATGGAATGATCGTGTGATTGCACTATACACTTGTGATGGTCATTTAGATTTTCTGCATGTACCTTCAGCTACAATTTTCAGTCACAACATTGCCAATGGTCCAACAAACACACCTCCAAGAGCGACTAATTCCTCTCTCACTCGATCATCTTCAGAGTTTGGTCCAAATACTTTTCAGGGTATCATTTCACAAATAGCTCGTCATAACTTTAAAAGTCTCAATTGTTCTGGAAATGTTGTGAAAATGTATCCCATTCAAATTATTAATCAATTATTACTCGTCTATGACAATGGAAATATTAAGATAGTTTCTATTCATGATAGTGATCGATCAGATTCTGATATTATTGAACATGGAAATGATCATCATTTTGGAAGTGTTATTTTTGAACTCACTCCAAGTGATCTCAAACCCTCTTCTCATGATTCACCATTTATTCGAAATATTTTACCCAAAATGTCTTCTTCGAGTAGTAGTAGTAGTAGTAATCAGTCAAAAGATGAATGGACTATTACTTCTTTGGAATGTTCTTTCTATCATAACTGTATTTATGCTCTGATTGGTTATGCATCAGGAAGACTCTGTTTAATTCATTTATATGATTTAGATTACATCACCAAACATTTTGCAAAATGTAACAAATACATTCTCTCTCAGAGATGGAAAGATCTTGCCGATATGCTCTCTCCAATGTGTCTTTACGATCATCATTCGAGTCCTGCAATGGGAAGAATTATGGATATTTATACAGTGAATGATATTTACAATGAATATTCGATGAATTGTATGATTGATGGAAGATTTCTACCACCTCGTCTCCGTAATGAATATGCAGCAAATTGTCTATTGAATTCCTCATCCAACACGAGTCCTCTCTGTTATACCATTTATAGTAATTCTCTAACGAATGTGTTCGGAACAGCCAAAAATAATTACATTACATTTCCTATTGATTCTAATTATCCATTGGTGGTTCTATTTCAAACAAAGAAAGCAATGGCACTCTCTTTTCAATTTACTTTGGATATTCTAGATATCAAATTTTATACCATTTCAAAGATTGATCAAATTGCAAGTTATGCATTTTCTGTGAATGGTGTCTCTTTTGAATTTGATATTGATAACAATTACAAGATTGTACAAAGTGATCAAATTGCAATTGCTGCTTCTGGTAGTGAATATAGAATTTATGTGAGAAATACAGCAAGTGGTGAATGTATTGGTGGTGGTGGTGAATCTGTGAAATTTGAGTGTATTGGATCAAGTGCAGCACCTGTGGATTCTCTTCTCAATCAATACATTACAAATATGAACATGAAATTACTTTCTCACAATATTCATGATAAGGAAATGGAAACAGAACTTCAAAGGTCTATGAACATGTGTGATATGGATTACTTGTGTCAATACATTGATCATATTGAAATATTTAACAACATGTCCTTTACAGAAATGCAAACACCAGGAAAGAAATCAACCATTCAACCAGAAATTGTTGGATTTTTATCACAATCTGGAATTCCTCCACTTGGACAACCTCATGTATTATCTCGATCCAAATACATTATTGTAGTTCGACAGAAAGGTATTGAAGAATATATTTTAGAGGCACCAATGATCCGATTGAAAAAGTTTTCACTCAAAGAAGGTCGAAAATATACTCATTCCAACATGATTCAATCAAGTGCCATTGAATTTGTTGGAAATTTGGAAAATCAATCACTCATCATTGTGGATCAACAATTTAATTGGATGATATTTACATTGAGACCATCTCTTTCACACAAGTCATTTGAATGTGTCTATTCACATCGAATTCAACACTTGTATGAAACAATCAACAAGTCATTCATTTCTCATGAAATGCATTCCATTTAAAAACATTTGACTTTGGAAAAGATATTTTTCTCTTCAACAATGATCATATTTATATGGGTACTTTATTTGATCCCAAATATCATAAGAGTAAGGACATTCTTGAACCTATTCTCTATACCATTGATTACAAACCATCCAAATTAGCAGCAGTTGGAGAGACTATTGTGAGCTTTTTCAAGAGCTTTACAAAATCAACACCCAATGAAAAGGATTTGAATGACCTATTTTGGAAAATATGTTCTCAATTACAAAGAGAGGATTTAAATATTGTGAAAAATATCATTGTTGCTCCACCAACAGTAATCTCCTCAGCAACAACAACAAGTAGTAGTGCATCTCAACCACCACTCGATCATGAAAAAACAATCATTTCAACCTTCCTTTCAAGTGAACTTGCGAAACCACTTCCTTTACCACCCTCTCAGAAAATGTCAACGACATGGCAATCAGACACTATTAATAGTGGTAGTAGTAGTAGTAGTAGTAGTAGCACGAATATCACAAGTGCAAAGCAAGCACAACAGCAACCAAGAAATGTTGTTGATAAGAGAGAGCTTTTACTTGGACCACAGAATGATAATACAATGTTCAATGAACAAAGAATGTTAGGTTCAGATAGTGCATCCATGAAAAGGTAAGATAATTTCATCAACAATTAATGTTAAAATGTTCTTGTAGATCTGAATTAAATCAAAGATTGGAAGAAACAAAACAACAAATGCAAGAAAATTTAAGAAAATTGAATGAACGTGAAGAGAAATTAAGAGAAATTAAGGAAAAAACAAATGAACTAAGTTCAGCAGCCAAGTCATTTGGAGCGAATGCTCAAAAGTTGACAGAGAAATCAAAAGGATTCTGGTTCTAAATATTCATTTATATTACAACTTGTGATATTGTGAAATGTCAATACTTGGATGATCGAGATTTGGAAATGGTTTGTTTTCACACTCCACAAATCCTTCGTTGGGTTGTATTTTGCTTCTCTTTTCCTTGACATACTGGTATGCTGTTTTAAAGTCCCAATGATTTTTCTTCATGAGAAAGGCAATTGTTATGGAAGCCGAACGAGAGCATCCGCTTGCGCAATGAAATAAAACCGATGCTTTTGTTTCTTGTTGAGATTCCAAGAACTTGTTGACAAATTCAAACGCTAGATCAAAGTGAGAAAATATATCGAAGAGCGTATCGTCATTTAGTTCTAAGTGATAATATCTCACAGGTCCTATTTGTTCTGAAATGACTTGATTCTCAAAATGGTTGTTGAGTTCTCTTGCACAATTCACAACACATCCAATGTTCAACTGCTCAAAACAGGATTTGTTTCTAGCGTGAGCAAACGATCCCAGATAAATCATGCCATCAATAATTGTACTTGGCATAGATGATTGAAATGAACTTGCAGACATTTTTTTGAGGTTCAAGTTCCCATGCTTGTTGACACTCCTCAGTTCCTTTCGGAATATGATATTTATTCCTCATCTGGAAGTGCAAATTTAGCATTATGATAAACGTTTTGAACATCATCATGATCATCCAATTGGTCAATTAATTGTTGCAAGTTTTCAGCAACCTCTGCGTCTGTCACTTCAATAAAGGTCGTTGGTACCTGACCTATTTCACATGTAATATTGGTAATGGTAATATTTAAAGCCTTTTCGATGGTGGTCTTCGCGCTCTCCAAACTTGCCTTCACATTGTGTACTTGTTCATGTGGACAAAAAAGAGATACCTCAATAAATTGTTTTTCCATTTCATTTTCAGTTGGCTCCAATTTTAAATCTTCCACACCTTCAATATCTGATACTTTTTCAAACAAGCTATCATATAGACTATCCATCTTTGAATGTGCAATCGGAATTGTAAAATTTACAACTCCCTTCTTCTCAAAACACCACTGAACAGAAGTTCCTAATTGTCCTTTATGATGTGAAAATAATGTTCGCACTTGTTGTGCAGTTCTATTCTTATTTTCTGTCAAAGCCTCAACAAGAAATGCAACACCACCAGCTCCATATCCTTCATAACTGTTATATTCCATATGAGCATCTTTTTCATTGAGTCCTGATTTAATAGCTCCATCCACTATGTGTTTAGGAACATTGTTTTTTCTTGCCTTTTCTAAACAAAGACGAAGTCTCAAATTGTCAGCACCAGCTCCACCAAGTTGAACACATGTTTTAATTTCTCTAGATAATTTGGTATAAATTTTCATTTTCTGCACATCTGTAATTGCTTTTTGATGTTTAATCTATGGACGTGGTGAGTGAGAATAATGTCAAATAAAAAGATAGAATAATTTTGTGTGAAAGTCCCGAAATAATTTTAACAAATTGTCAAAAATAGGATCATCAACATTGCTAGAACTCGCTACCGGTTTCTCTTGGTTCCAGAGTACAAACCTTTGACCATTTGTTATGTCCAGCCAAATTCAAAGAATAAATTGAAGAAAATTTTCTCTCTTGTTGGTGGGTTTGATTACTAGAAAAAGAAAGAACAACAAGGCTCCGAGAATGAATGGCCTTGTGAGCCTGTTGTTGATGAGCCAACATCATTCCGATAGGACGCAAAGAGAATTGACGAAACATTTTTTTTAAACGAATTGAGAAAGAGCAAAACGTTGTTTTGGGTAACACCAGTTTCTTACTTACTGCGTATGAATATGCCACTGTTTAGGTGTTGTGTGGGTTTCAATAGAGCAGAGGGTGCACCGTTGCTTTATTTCTTGATTGCTTGCTGACTTGGACCCAAGCTAACTAACTCTATATCGATCTCTGTCTTTTCGTTTTCTATTCTCTGAAGGATTGGTCTCTTCCAACAACAATTCTGGGTTGCCTTTTCAAGCAAATATGCACCGGTGATAAGGAATCAAAAAGATAGACATCTCAAGATACAATGATTGTTCCTTCTTTCTTCTAACAAAAACAACTCTGATCTTCTTCTTCTAAATTCAAAACATGGTTCACCATTGATTCCTTTCATTTGTATTAATACAAAGATCTGACTTGCCAGACTACTTGGTTTAAAATCTCATCGGGGCTGCTTTTTGTCAATCACCCTCAGCTTTAAATTTTCCATTGCTCCTTCCAATCGTGAGAGAAAGATTCAAAAAGATTCAGGCGGCTTGGTCTTCAACAAAATTCGCACAAAAAAACTCGAGGCTCACATTCTCTGTCTCCACGCCGTGAACAACACCGATTCGCACTTCCTGTACGATATTGTTGTTGTAAATTGTGTGATCATCATCATCCTTGAGAGTTTACTCCAATCATAACCGCTTTCATTGATAGCCCTCATTGTTGAATACACCAACAAAACCCTGCACACCACAGTACTATCATCATGGCTACTAGCTCCCTTGTTCATGACCTCATCCACAAATTTGTGAATGAGCCTCTTCCATTGCCATACGAGCAAATTCCAATGCTTAACAAGGCTAGAAACTATATTTTGAATTTTACCTTTGAAAGGGATGATCCATTCCGTATGAATCAATTCTTTCCAACCACTTTTGTTCCTATTGCACTCTATCTTGTGATTACATTTGCTTTAAAGAAAATCTTTAAAGGAAGACCTTTAGATTTCAAGACTAATCCTCTTTTGTATGCATTTGGATTCGCTCATAACGTGATATTGAGCTTGGGTTCTTTGATTATGTTTGCTGGTATGATGTACGGATTTTTGCAAGTCGCCTTTACTTCATATCTAGCAAATGAAACACCTGGACAATCATTCCTCATTGGAATTTGTAACAGTAACGGCACTTTTTGGAATAATAGATACGGTACTGCATTTTGGATTTGGGTATTCATGGTTAGGTATGTATTATTGATGATGAGATTTAATGTGTCATCTTGTGATTGAAATTTTTCATGAATTTGTTACTTTGGCGTGACAATAGCAAATGGTGGGAATTTATCGATACATTCCTCTTGTGTCTCAAGGATAAACCTCTCCAATTCCTCCATGTATGGCATCACGCTACTGTTCCTCTCCACATGTATCTCATGTTGATTTCTGAATGGGACCCAGCAGTGTTTGGCTTCTGCTTCAACGCATTTGTTCACATCATCATGTACTACTACTATTTGCAACAATACAGAGGAATTGATTGTTGGTGGAAGAAGCTTGTCACAATTATTCAAATTGTGCAATTCGTAGTTTGCTTTGTTATCTTAGGAGTTTCAATGAACAGCCAACACTGTGAATTGGACAGCCAATCATCTCGTATTGCTCTCTCCTCAACATTTACATTGTACCTCTCATACTTGGTTTTGTTCATCAAATTCTATGCTTCAGCTTACTCCAAAAAAGGCAGAAGAAGCACTGGTGACAAGAAGGTTGAAGCCGAAGAAAAGAAGATGCAATAATTAAATTATTAATATACAGAGTTTGCTCATATAATTGTTTCTTGGTGTGATTCAGTTTATTCGGTCTTGGAAGGTGTTGCCGATGGTCGTGCTGATAAGAGGAAAATCAGGACACGAAAACAACACGGGAAGATGATTTATTGGACAAGAATTAATTGTATTACTTTACAAGAACAAAATCAAAACACATACGTTTAATATCCGCCAACCCCTCGATGATACATTCCAGAGTGATATTGGTGATGTAAACCTTGTGTTGGTCCTCCGCTTCCATCATCTTCATCCTCTTCATCCTCTTCATGCTGTTGTTGTTGGTGATGGCTCAATCGGTGATGTGGTTGTTGTTGTTGATGATAATTTACTTGTTCTTGTGTTGGTTGATTCAATGTATCCTCTTCCTCTTCTTCGTTATAATTTGCTGAGTTTACCTTCTCACATTCATCAATCCACTCGCTATATACATCAATGGCAGACATGATGTAAGTGATATTTGTTTGATATTGTGCTCCGCAAATTCTACAGGTTAACTTTCCGGTGCTTTGTTTTCTATCAATCACGCATTCGACTGTTCCTTCATGATTGCAGAAAGGACAATCGAACGATGTGGGCAACTTGGGTTGGACTTTCTTTGGTGGAGGTTTTCGAGTCTTTCGTTTTCCCATTTTTAAAAACGGTTTTTTTTTTGAATTTGGAAGATCTCTGTTAGACCAAGTTGATTACACAATTATATATGAAACAATTAAGTTGAATAACACTATCTATCAACTTGATATTAATGTGAAAAGCGACAGCAATATTTTCAATTTATTTTCAATGAAGAATGACACAATAGATAGGAAACTTTAAATCTGTTTGGCATCATCAAGATGAAGTCCTCCCAACAGCTTTTCTGGTGTATATTCCATTGATCCAATCTTTTCAATGGTCTCAATTAGATCATAGACAATTTCTTCTCTAACTACACTATCTTTCTTATATTGGGGGTGAGATCTAACAAATTCTCTAATGAATGCAGCATTGGTTTGAAGTTTTCCACTCGCTCTCAAACTCACCAAGCTCAGATATCTTTCAAGATAAATTCTGTCTTTGACTTCGCAATGCATTTGATCAAGATATTTTCTTACTAGAGGAATGAGTCCAATAAATTTCTTATCCTCTTCATTCACTCCGTTCATAATTTCATCAATGCTCAACTCTCTAGTGCATTTCTTCAGATCACTCTCACTCATGCTAATATTGGGATCAGAATCTAAACAGACTCTGAACTTGAACTTTTGATTAAGCACAGCATCTCTAAGATGAGCCTTTTTCATGTTGAGATCAACTTCTGATAAAGGCATTAACATGTTAAGTTTAAAGGATAAAATTGCTCTTGTCAATAAAACAATGAAAACAGTGAATGCAGCATTTTCAAAATCTGTGAGTTGAACTTCCATCACTCTAAATTCAACTCTCCAACCAATGGAGGAGTTTGGACCTGGTGGAGGCTTAAATCTAACAGTTTGCCAGTTTGTTGATTGCAGATTTTCAAAGTGAACACTTTCACTGTTGTCATCAATTTGTTTGCAATCTGTGAATATAACAAGAGGGTCACGAATAAAGTAATGAGCAATATGTCTTGCCAGCTGTTCATCAATATTGCTTTCACGTAGAGTTTTGTAGGATTTTTCATCAATTTCAACATTAAGATCACTAAATTGTTTTGCTTGCGTATTTTCTCCAATATACAAGCTGATAGAATCATATCTGCTCTTTGTGATGTGCTTGGTTTCATCATCCCTTCTATCATCGACGCTTGCACTTACAATATTCCATCGGACATCTGTTTCCGCCAAAAGACCACGTGCTAAAGGTGTTGCAGCTGTGAGAGCTAACATTATTGGACACAAAACAGCCAACTGGTCGTAAAGGTTTCTTGCTTCGTGAATGTCACGAGCCAACAATGTGCTTTGCATGCAACAGCAGCCCATTCCAAAAGCCATTGCGTCCATGTGGATGAAATGTTCAAAATCTGTAACCAATCTAGTGGCAGAAGACGAGATCATCATTTGTTCTTTTTTTTGTTTGATTAATTCATCAATGTTTGGATAATAGGTCGAGTTTTCGTCTAAATGATGAATTCTTTTACCAACATTAACGTCAGTGTGTTCGTCAATAAATAATGGAACGAGAATGTTTACGTTTTTTCCTCTTCTCAGTCTAATATTTCTGGTGAGAGTTCCAAATCTTGGATGCTCATTGGTAATAATATCAGGTATGTATGGAGATCTCGAAATTGGGCCGTTGAATGTCAACAACTCATTTTCTTCGTTTTGTGACAATGGTAAAATATCTCCAATATGGGAATATGGGCTTGTACTAATGTCGTTCAGCAAAATTTTCTTTGTTGCTCCCAATAGAGGATACAAAGACATGGTAATCACCGAGTTTGTAACTCTTGGAGATTTGATGTTTTCCAAAATTTTAGGAACAGTGGATTGAGCAATCATTCTTCTTCTTTTCATTGATTCCTCACATTTCAAATAGCATGAGATACATCCTTCGTAAGGAAAGAAAGGTGTTCCTTCAAGCATAAATCTTCCATATTCCGGTTTCCAACTTGCTAAAGGAGCATTTGGTATTAATTGATGATTGTAGTCATCTTCTTCTTTCATGAGTACATCCAAGACTTGCTTGGCGTGTAGAGAAAGGAAAATTCTCTTGTTCTCGGTATCCTTTTCCAATAAGAGATATTCAATTTCATCACCCCATTTCAATTCCTTGTCTGTTCTATCTTTCACCTTGTTGTAAATAATGATAAATTGTTTAATTCCGTGCTCCTTTACATAATCAATCAATGATAGAGCATCGGTCCATTTGAGAGGAGTTCCTGCTTTTAAAAGTCCCATGTTTACAAATGAATCGCTATCAAAATTCAATGATCCAAAATTTGGTAGATTTGATGTTAAAGAATTTCCTGATGATAAACCCGAGCAAGAGAGAGAAGGAGTCTACAACAGGTCTTTGATGCCAAAAGAGAGAGTCGTGAATTTTTTTGTTGTTTAGCCTTCGTGTTTTTCATCAGGATCGGGCTGACCTCTCTTGCGGACGGTCTATTTGAATAGGGTTCAAGGATTGCTGCGATTAAGAAGAATTGACAAATTGATTGCATGACAAACATGTCCTATTCTTGAACGTATTTGAAGAAATAATTTGCGTGCAATTGATCTCAGATGTGTTTCTCTTTCTCCTTCAAATGACAAACCTCTTCTTTCCTCCAAATAGGGAGGTCCATCTCCTTAACCTTATGAGTCGTTGAAAAAAAACCCAAAGAAAGGCTCTTACAAGAGAGAGAGGCTTTCCAAAAGTCCCAATCGTAAACCTTAAAGCTCAAAACACCTATTAGAAAATCTAGGAGAGTCCTTTCACAGTCCTTGCGAAAAGATAGAACGTTTCTTAATTGGAAATCGATTCTGAAATATCGACACCACTTCAACAAGAGGTTATCGTCAAACTCTTCTACAATGTCAAGGATCGAATTTTGGGAGTCCATTTGATGAATTGGAGAGATCAAAGCCTTATATCCCCTCCACAATACTTCTATCTTCTTTACAGTGGGCAAACCATCATATCCAAAAAAGTAGGGAAAAGTTCTTCAACGTACGTTAACAAATCAAATCCCTCACTTTCTGTTGTACCCATAATAAACTGTGGATGTCCTCAGGAATTGACGGATTAGGATTGCATGAGATAGACAGTATTTAAACATTATATCAAGTCTTATCAATTAGTAATGAGGTTATTTGAATCATCTTCAACAACCGATGGACACTCTAGAGGATTGAGATCGTTCAGTCCTCTTGTTGCAGCAACATCTCTTTCGTATATATTGCTCCATAACCTTTCATGACCTAAAAACCAGAGTTTTTTCTTGAGAAAATCCTCTACTTCTGAAAGGTTGCCAAACATTATATTCTCTCATTTTGCTCACGACACCAATTGAAACCGAATCCAACCTCCCTAAAAAGTTTTAGGAAAGACCTTTGTGTTATTCTCCCATATCTGTCTTTAGGAAATTAACCTTCTCAAGTAACTTGTCGAAATCTTTCTCGTCTTTTTTCAATCAAGAGATTTTGCATCCATTTCTTAATCTCTTGAATGTTTTTCACTTGGGTCAGCATATTGCAAGCTTGCGGTATTCACGTCTAACCTTCGAGTGTGACTGTGAATCCATCAAAGGCCCAACTTCTTCTTGCAACTTGCACCAAATAGACATTAGGGTTTGTGTCCTTCTCCTTATTAGAGGAATTGAGAACCTTTCATCTAAAGGAAGATTTCCACGATTGCGAAGTGAGAGAGCTTCTTTCCAAGACTTCGGTTCTTCTTCTTACTCATCATGATGTTGAGGGAGATAATGTCCTCTTCGACAGAAGAGAAAGAATTTGTTGAAAAGGATCTAAGACCAGAATGGTAAGGAATTGTATTGTTTGATGATGAATGACCCATGCAAAGGGATCAGCATTTCCTTGCATGAATAGAGAAAGTTGTTGTCTGCAAACAAAGGATTTAAATTCATTTGCATGGCGATTCAAGTTTGTGCTTTTCAATATACGTTCATTGGAATGTTATTATACACACAAGAGTTGATTAACTTGTTTTTTTGACTGACCATCTGGAAATACATGGTCTTTTTAAAGAGGTTTGGTGGTCCTTTTGATGTTTAATGATGATGTGATGGTTTTAGGAGGGCAGCTCCATAAAATCCATTTCTCTTTTGATACCCATCAAAAAGAGCATTGAGGTGGGCTTTTGATGTGAGTGCTGTTTTGGAAATTCCCTTAAATGGATATTTTGTTTCAGTCCTGTCAATTAGAAGAACCTTTTGTTGCAAGAGTCTTACGGAAGTGATTTGGGAGTGTCTCTTTATTACAAGTACATCTTCTCTTGAACGAAGGATGAAAGAATGGGATGTTGCTCGAGTTGTAGGTAAACCTAGTATATGATGGATTTTCTCTTTTGATCATCAAGTTTGCTATAAAAATGCTTCCTCCTTCCTCGCTTGATCCTTCTTCTTCTGGCGCTGTGGTGATGATCGTCAATATCAATGGAGCCACTTGCAGTGGAAAATCTACGCTTGCAGAAGAATTATGTAAGTTGTATTGTTACTTACATCAAGAAGATCAGCTGGAAAATTCATGAATATCCTCATCATCATCCTCATCCTCATCATTATTAGGTCAAAGATTTAATTCGCCTATTGAACCTATTGGCCAAGATTGTTTCTTGAATCGCAACATTCCGATATTTAAAAAGAAGGTTGAACTTTCCGATGATGATCATCATATTCACGAGAAATTACAACAACCATCCAACCATCAACAAACTGATTTATCAAGAACATCCATGGACTCTTATCGAGAGTGGCCAAATTTTGAGTGTGAGCAGAGCATTAATTTTGTTCAATTTGAGCATGTCATTAAAACTGCAAGAGATATCATTCTGACCTCACATCAAGACCTTCAACAAATGAAAAGAAAATTTATGGAATTTGGCTATACGTGTTGGAATGAAAAATTTGCGACCTCTCAAACCTTGATCATTTCAAATGTGAAGGTTTATGTCATTTTCGTCGAAGGATTTTTATCATGCTGTGATTTTAATTTAATTTGTAATTTATTTGATATTAATATTTATTTAAATGCCACCAAAGATTTGTGTCTTAAAAGGCGATCACAGAGAGATGCTAAAAGAGATGTATCAAACGTTTCAAAAGAATTTATATTGTGGTTTAATGAACTTGTTTGGCCATTTCATGAGCTATATAGAACTCGACAACTTTCCAATATCATCAAATCAGGAAAACCATTTTTGTGTGTCAATTCAAATGATGATATTGAGGAAATTCAACAAAAGAACAAAGAAAAATTATTGGACAAGGTTTCTACTTTCATTAAGGGCTTGTTGAAGCACAAAGGAGGAGAAGACTCCCTCCATTGTTGTAGGTACCCAACAAGAGATGGTGAGACCTCTCATTGTGACCATCAATTTGCTGAAACGAACAAGATGATCATCAATCCACTCCTCCATCACAATCTCCCAGAATGGTTTGATGTGAACATGAACCATGAACAAAGTGAAAAAGAGTTGGAGCAATTCTTATTCTCTCATCATGTAAAGTGATAAAGACATTTGATAGTAGTCGTAGTACTAGTGAGAGGCATGGACCTGAAAAAATTTTAGAGAAAAAAAATGCCGCAAACCACTTCCACGACTTCCACCACCACCAACGGAGAAGGAAGTAGGAGGAGGAGAACAAGTCCTCTCAAATCCATTCTCAAAATTCCATTATTTATTTTGGTAATAGCCATGTTATTGAGAGTGTACTTCAAGTTGGAAAGAACAAGAGAAAAAATTGATACACCCATCACGAGGACATTAATTTATAATGCAACCATTGTGAATGAGAATCAACAATTTTTAGGACATGTTCTCATTGAAGGAGAAAATATTAAGAAAATATATAAAAAGAAGATGAATTTAACTAAATTTCAACAAGACTCTTCGACAAGAATTATTGATGCCACTGGATTATACTTGCTGCCAGGTGTCATTGATGACCAAGTGCATTTCCGAGAACCAGGACTAACACACAAAGCCACTATTTATTCAGAATCCAAGGCTGCAGTAGCTGGAGGAGTGACCTCTTTTATTGAACAACCAAATACAAACCCACAAACCACAACTCAAGAGTTACTTGAACAGAAATTTAACATTGCACGAAACACTTCTCTTGCAAATTTTTCCTTCATGTTGGGAGGTACATTAACCAACTTGCAAGAAATATTGAAAACAAATGGAAGAAATGTGGCAGGAATTAAGTTGTTTTTAGGAAGTTCAACAGGAAATATGTTAGTGGATGATCCAAAGGTTTTAGATGAAATTTTCTCGAAAACAAAAGTACTTATTGCTGCACACTGTGAAGATGAAAAAACGATTCGTGAAAATTCTAAAATTTATAGAGAGAAATATGGAGAAGATGTACCAATTCGATGTCATCCAGAAATTCGAAGTGGTGACGCATGTTTCTTGTCTTCTTCATTTGCAGTGAATTTGGCTAAAAAGCATAACACTCGATTGCATATTTTCCATATTTCTACTGAGAGAGAAACACATCTATTTGACAATAAGACACCTCTAAAAGAAAAGAGAATTACATCCGAGGTGTGTATTCATCACTTGTGGTTTAGTGACAAAGATTATGAAACGAAAGGCGCATTTATCAAATGGAATCCAGCCGTTAAAACTGAAGCTGACAGAGAAGGTTTATGGAAGGCATTACTCGATGACAGATTGGATGTCATCGCCACTGACCATGCTCCTCACACCATTGAAGAAAAGACCAGCAGTTATTTTAAGGCAGCGTCTGGAGGTCCTTTAGTACAGGTGAGTGAGTTTAATCAATTTACTCAACACTTTTGATTTTTTGTTCATTCATGAAATATTCAGCATTCGCTAGTTGCCATGTTACAATTTTATCATCAAGGAAAAATTAGCTTGGAGAAAATTGTCGAGAAAATGTGTCACAATCCAGCAATTGTATTTCAGATTGAAAAAAGAGGTTATATTCGAGAGAATTACAAAGCGGATTTAGTATTGGTGAATTTAAATAAGCCTTGGACCGTTGACAAATCAAATATTTTGTACAAGTGTGGTTGGAGTCCTTTCGAAGGAGTCGAATTCAAATCCAAGGTTGAAAAGACCTTTGTGAATGGTGTCTTAGTGTTCGATAATGGAGTTTTTGATGAATCAATCAAAGGCCAAAGGCTGTTATTCGAACGAGAAGGCCTCGAGTAAGAATAAAGATCAAGTGTTCGAAGTTCTTCAAACATGTGAATATACATCATTTCGTTTTATTAATCACCAACAGCATAAGCCTCTTCGTTCAACTTTCTTTGCCTTCTGTGAGAGTGTTGCACCCATTTCCAATCGACAATTCGCTTGTCATTGTACAAGATATTTCCATCATAGTCAGGATTTACAATAACATGAGTGATGTCATCCCTTCTTTCAGAAAAATCATCTGCAATTTCTCCACCATAAGCAATGATGTACCTCCTCAATTCTCTTTGATTCTTAACTGCTGGATCAAAATAAACAATACATCCCTCAAAGAATGAAGGCAATGCAGCTTGAGGTCCTTCAAGATCCACATCGGCAACTATGGGTTTGTTTGACAAGTTCAAGTTAATGTACTGCAGCATTTTGTTTTTCAAATGATCGATGCTGTTGATCAGTTCTTCCTTGTTTGTTTCATCGTCGTCCATTGCCAACTTTGCGATACTTCTCAAAAATTTAGGGCTAGGTGTGTTTAGTGACCATTGCTCAAAAAAGGCCATAATATCACCTTCTCTGGTACATGAAATTGCTGCTCCAAAAATGTCTTCTCTTATAAAATCAGCAAAGGATTTTTTCATGTTTGGAGAGTCATCAAAGAACTTTTTAAATCTCAAAAGTTCTTGTTCTTCTGATGAAGATAGGTCACACTTGTTGACCAACGTCGTAGTTGGTGGCGAGAGAGAAGTTGCTGTTGTTGCTTGTGTTGGTGGTGCCTCACTTTTCTCGTTCGTTATCGATGGTGATGATGTCGTTGGTGGCTTGTCATTTGGCAAGGCAGCACTGGCAGATGTTGTAACATTCTTAGACGATACATCAGTTTGAGAGTTATCTTTCGAAGAATCATGAACCACCTTTTCTGGTTTTTTGTCATTCTTAGGTTTGCTTTCGTTTTTCTTTTCTGGCTTTTGTTCTGGTTTTCGAGACACTTTTTTCTTTTTTCGTTTTGGGACGTATTCACCATCTTCTGCTTCCATATCTTTTTCAGAACTGTCTTCACTTAATTCAAAGTCAATGTCAGATCCTAGTGACGCTTCTGCCTCTTCATCATCACTTAGCGAATCATCTTTTTTCAATGAGTACTTTTTTTCGTTCATTCGCCTTAATTTCGAGTAACAGTCATAAACCCACTCTTTGGTGACAATTTTTGACCCTTGCTTTTGTGCTTCACGACCCTTATCAGAAACAAACGCAGCAACTTTAGATATTGTCGATTCATTACCAAAAAATTGTCAAACAATAACTCACCTAAGTGTGTAGTGTCTGAGGTAACATTTGGTCTATAACTGGCTCCCATTTCAAGTGCCTTCTCTCTTATAGTAGCTCTTTCTGGATTTTGAATACCACTGATTGCAATCACACAACCAACAAGAACGTTCTCTTTGGAAGTTACTGGCCCGTCTTTAAGATTCCGCTTGTCCTTAATTGTTGTCTTGTTACTCACCACAAAACCTGCTAGATTACCATTTTCGTCAGCATCGCTAGCATCGTCTATCATTTTATCTTCATCATCTGTATTGGATGGATCTGAAGAATATTTCTTTTTCCTTGTTGTAGTCTTTTTTCTTGTGGTTGGTTTCTTTTTGTCAGCTTTTTTTTGGTCTTTCTCACTATCTGACTTATCACTTTCATCTAAACCAGCAATTGATTTAAACTTGATAGGTTTCTTCTTGGACTCTTCTTTCTTTCTTGTTCGTTTTTTTGAAGTGTCAGTTTTCTCAGAACTGTCATCAATGTCATTAGTTTGGGATGATGATTTTGTAGGTTTAGCAGTAATACCACTTGGCAATGTTCTTTTCTTTACCTCTGTTGAAGAAACACTTAATTTTGCACTCGGTAAATTTGGCTTGATATCTAAAGAGGGGGAGGCCGAGAGTTTTGTGTGGGCCATCTTCCTTGCTTGCTCAAATTTCTCTTGAGGATTTTCGTCTTTTACATCATCGTCATCAGAAAGTAATGGAATATCTAATGTTGCTCCTTTGATGAGCGAAGTGGATGACTCT